TTTTAAATTTGAGTGGTGGACTTGTGAAAAGGCTTTGCGTGCTATTTCTTTTCATTGTGAACTTTATGATATGTTCACATTTACGTTATTTAGGAGAGTTGGTTGAAGAATATAATATATTATCTCGTAGATTTAGAAGAATTTTGCAAAACAAAACTTGCAAAATTTGGAAACATATTTAATGCAATGAGTGCGTTCCCCAAAATTAAAAAATATTTTTTGTTCAGCAATTGGAAAATTATAAACTTGTTCTGCGGCAAGATATTGCATAGTGATTCAAATAAAATAAATCTCCAATATAATTTTTTTTGTTATCATTGTTTGAGGTGGAAACAATAATGGCTTGAACGTTGTGGAATGCTTTGATACAGTTGCTGAAACATGGACCCCTGTTGCCAGATTAAACAATTCAAGATTTTATTTCAAAGCCTGTGTTGTTGGAGGAAAGATATTTGCTGTTGGAGGGTGAGTTGGACCTTGATTTATGAAACTACTTGCCATTTAAATAGAAATAAGTAAAAATTCAACCTATGTATAACTATATATATATCAATTTTTGAGTTTGCTATTTAATACTTATATTCCGTTGTTTTATTTTGCAGGAATAATTCCAAGAACACAATAGAAAAATATGACCCCGCTGTAAACTCCTGGAATGTTGTTGAAACAATGGATGGGATAGAAATTAAGGTTTTCGCTTCCATCGCTTTGACTGTTCCCTTCTAGACAATAGTTGAATATCCATCACAAAAGCATTTTGACTCTGCTATGATTTAAATATAACTCAAACTATATTTGATATATTTTACTGATCAAAGGTTGGATTAAAACTGAATTTCGAATATATCAATAATTTGATTTGGTAAGGTTTATATATATATATAAGTTTATTCAGCGATACGCAAACAATTCAAGTCGATATTATCAGTCAATATTAGAACCTGAGAGTACTTGAATTCCATTGTTGAGACTACATATATCTAGAATGCATAGTGTGTGTGTTAGCTCCAGTAATTTTTAATCTATTAATGATTTTGCTCTTTTAGTGTGATTTTCAATTGTAAATATAATTTTATTCAGAATAAATCAAACTATTTAAGCCAATATTAGAACCTGAGAGTAATTGGATTCCATTGTTGAGACTACATATATCTAGAATGCATTGTGTGTATTAGATCCAGTAATTTTTCTATCAATATTTTTTGCTCTTTTTCAGTGTGATTTTGTATTTTAATATAAATGTAAATATTTTATAATGTCACAACAGAAATAATTCAAGTCAATATTAGAACTTTATCGTAATTGGATTCCATTGTTGAGAATCTATTTATCCAAAATATATTGTGTGCATTAACTTCATAATTACTATATATAACCGTAAATATATACTACTACTAGATGTCCAACTCCGCTCGCCGTATAATAAACAAACAAAGGCGATGTTGCACCTCCAAGTGGCGGGCGTCACGGTTGGTTTTGTTCAGACTAGAGGCTTAACGACGACGACGCTCCTGCATCACAGCTCAAAACTAGCCCTGTTCATTGATGACTGATCGAAATATTTGCTGAAGGACGAAAAATTCGATAAAAATGAACAAATAATTGTGAAAATGAAGACACAGTCTGTCTTGCAAATGACCAGGATGATGTGACAACTTCCTTGTCGAAAGAAGCAAGGCATCAAAAATGCGATGCATGCAAAAAATGTCAGTCAGATGTAGGTAAAGTGGTGACGAAAATGAATACTTTGCACTTTACATAAAAAAAAAACGCTCAGTAGCACAACATTTTGGTCTCACTCCATCTCAAGTATTGTAGCTTTCACAGAAGTTTTTTCTACTTGACCTATAATCAGGGCTGCCACAACGTCCTTATTTTTAGAATTTGTCCTTATTTTGAAGGTCTTTGTTTTAGGAAATGTTTTTGTCCTTATTTCTAAGAAACATCTTTATTTTGACATGTGTCCTTATTTTTAACCTTATAAATGAATATACCAGTAAATTAAATTTGAATTTAGTTTAGATCTGGAACTTCATAAGAGATAAAATGAGTAAACGTAAAAAATTTGCTGTGATGATTATGAGAAAGAATTCAACGGCTCGAACGAAACGAAGGGCAGTGATTTCGCCTGCAGCTTTTGTGAATGTGACAACAATCTGGAATGCATAGGTAGAGCAGCAATTTCTGTTAATAATGCAACCCAGAAACACAAGGCTCTGCTCAAGAAATTAATCAAACCAATCTATAAATAACTTTTTAAGAGTCAATGATTATACAAAGGCTATCTCAACACATGCAAGCAGCTGAAATTTATTTCCATCATCACATCATTGAACATCCGACACTTCATATAAAAGAAAAATATTTTCAAATCATTCATGAGCGAATACCTATTAAACAATGTAACTGAATGTCAAGATGTAACAACACTACTTGAGAAAGTATTCAAAAATTTGAGCAAATGTATACGCAAAATACTGCAGCCAAAATAATAACAACAAGATGGACAATAGGACTCATGGAATACGAAACCAATTGAAGAAACACAGCAGCTAGAACGAAGATTAAGATATATGTGATTAAGTCAAGTTTCCGTACTCCTGAAGTATGCGTACCAAGAAAGGAGGACACCGGAACGTAGTATGTGTACCACGTTAGGGTTAGGCCAAAATGTCCTTATTTTAGTTCTATTACGAGTTCAGGGACCAACCAAGTGAGTTTTGTAGTATTTGTACCTAAAAGTATGGCCTAACCTGGTACACATACTATGTTCCGTTGTCCGTCATCTTGGTACACGTATTTCTGGAGTACCCAAGTTTTTTCTCAATAATCCATAGAAATACAAATTATTATTTTAATTACTAATGTGAATAAACACTGAATATCAGTTATATTAATAGTGGTATTGATGTTTTTTAAGGCTTTGGGAGTGGTTCTTAGCTGGAGTAAAAGGCAATTTAGGTTCTATCACGTGGACATTGCTACATATTTCTTTTTTTTGCTGCTTTTCAATCAACTGGAGCACCGATGGATTCCCAGCCCGCGACCTGCAAAATATGCATCTTTTAAACTGAAAATCTTTTGGCGATTCATTCAATATTTAGGGTGAGGCCGACGGGCATAGCTGAAGATTTTGAAGGGGAGGGGTCTGAAATTTTTAATTGACAAGTTAGACCAAACACTAGCAGTCTGATCGCAAATGTTAGTTTATAATAGTCCCGATGGTCTAACTCTAAAAAGTGTTTCACGCCACGAAAAATTTATATGTATGATATGGTAGAACAATTTAGAAGGCTTTTATCTCACACTTGAAGGGGGTCTGACAGATGTTTGGTCTAATATGGTATATCACATGTTGAAGGTACCAGTATTTGAAGCCCTTCATACGCTGGAGAAGCAATGAAATGTTGTTGTTTTTTAAATATGACTACAGAATGTGTTGCATGTAGCTGTATAGCATTTATTTTGTTAAAAAATCCTTGAGCTAATCACCTGTTGTAGACTTCCAGTGTGTAAAATAATTTATGAAATTTTAGCTGATCTACTGCAGTCTTTTGTCTCCAGATGTTTCAGAGAGTAGTAGTAGATTTCCGTTTTTGAGGGAAGCCACGTCAGTAGTGCTGTTGCATATGTCAAAAAAGGTATTTTGCAGTTTGCAAAACTTGGCGTTGCTTCAAATTCAGACATCTCCGAAATCCTAGCAACAGATGCAGCAAGAACCTACAAAGAAAAATTTCCCTGTTCATCTGTTATTAATGACCTGAATACTGTTGGTAATTTGAAATAATAATCATGATCCAAGTATTTAAATGCTCAATAGAAGATAGATCTAATAAATACAAATGAATTAATACCCAAACAATTCTTTGTGCTATACCTGTGCTAATATTTAACAGACATTTTTATCAAGCTATTGAGTTAAACATGTTGGTCTGTTAGTTTACATGGCTGTTTCAAATGTTTTTTTAGACATATTTCAAAATTCCTTAGTGTGTTTCCATGCCAAAACCCCATCTGGTGACAGCAAATCAATCTTCAAAAGTGAGTTTCGAGACGTCTGCAAAAATTTATATTTTAGTTACGATATTTTGAAATAAATTGCCCACAACGATTGAACCTTGTCTACCATCTAAGCATGTATGTGTTTATATATAAGTATAACAGCCATTTCGACAAACTATTATTTGAAACAAAAATGTAAATACCCCACAAAACAAATTGGAATTAATAAAATGTAACGGTTACTGCTATTGATCACAAATCAAAAATTTAAAAACACTCGACAAAATAATTCAAAACTTTTTGGCACATCTAAAATTATAAATATATATATATGTTGAAGCCATGTTTAGATAATGGCAATACTAGGTATCCAATTTACGTGAAAATGGTTATTAGTACCAGCCTGAAATCAAGCAAAATGGATTATCATGGCAAACGCAAAACACCTCTTATGTTGTAGTATGCAGCTGGTGACTTCGTATACAATGACAGAATGCTGGAATGAGTCTGGGAAAAAATTATCAAGATCAGTAGAACTCCATCATAAAACACTAATTAATTGAAGTTAAAATATGTGTGTTTAATTTATGTTTTTCATGCAGACGTCACAATTTCAATCACCCATCAGTCAATTTATATTCTTGCTTACTTCTTTGATCACACAGCATAAATCCTCACACTGCAACTTTTTTATGATCCGAAAATACACATATCTCTTATCAAAATTTACATTTCTTGACAAATCATTACTGTATTGGGTACCTATAAGAACATTTACAACTTACTCTTTTTTATGCTGAACAATCGTAGCACAAAGCGGCTCTCTACTAGACTACATCTACTCATGGGAGCTTTAAAGTGAATTAAAAATCTTACTGTCAACGTGCTTTCGAGTGCTGAACCGGTCCTAGGGTCTTCCCACTCAATTGCTCACTCAAATCATCACAGCAAATTTTTTACGTTTACTCATTTTATCTCTTATGAAGTTCCAGATCTAAACTAAATTTTAATTTACTGGTATATTCATTTATAAGGTTAAAAATAAGGACACACGCCAAAATAAAGATGTTTCTTAGAAATAAGGACAAAAACATTTCCTAAAACAAAGACCTTCAAAATAAGGACAAATTCTAAAAATAAGGACGTTGTGGCAGCCCTGATTATAGGTCAATTGTAGAAAAAATCTGTGAAAGCTACAATACTTGAGATGGAGTGAGACCAAAATGCTGTGCTACTGAGCGTTTTTTTTATGTAAAGTGCAAAGTATTCATTTTCGTCACCACTTTACCTACATCTGACTGACATTTTTTGCACTGCATCGCATTTTTGATGCCTTGCTTTCTTTCGACAAGGAAGTTGTCACATCATCCTGGTCATTTGCAAGACAGACTGTGTCTTCATTTTCACAATTATTTGTTCATTTTTATCGAATTTTTTCGTCCTTCAGCAAATATTTCGATCAGTCATCAATGAACAGGCCTAGTTTTCGAGCTGTGATGCAGGAGCGTCGTCGTCGTTAAGCCTCTAGTCTGAACAAAACCAACCGTGACGCCCGCCACTTGGAGGTGCAAACATCGCCTTTGTTTGTTTATTATACGGCGAGCGGAGTTGGACATCTAGTAGTAGTATATATTTACGGTTATATATAGTAATTATGAAGTTAATGCACACAATATATTTTGGATAAATAGATTCTCAACAATGGAATCCAATTACGATAAAGTTCTAATATTGACTTGAATTATTTCTGTTGTGACATTATAAAATATTTACATTTATATTAAAATACAAAATCACACTGAAAAAGAGCAAAAAATATTGATAGAAAAATTACTGGATCTAATAAACACAATGCATTCTAGATATATGTAGTCTCAACAATGGAATCCAATTACTCCCAGGTTCTAATATTGGCTTAAATAGTTTGATTTATTCTGAATAAAATTATATTTACAATTGAAAATCACACTAAACGAGAAAAATCATTGATAGATTAAAAATTACTGGAGCTAACACACACACTATGCATTCTAGATATATGTAGTCTCAACAATGGAATCCAATTACTCTCAGGTTCTAATATTGACTGATAATATCGACTTGAATTGTTTGCGTATCGCTGAATAAACTTATATATATATATAAACCTTACCAAATCAAATTATTGATATATTCGAAATTCAGTTTTAATCAAACCTTTGATCAGTAAAATATATCAAATATAGTTTAAGTTATAGTTAAATCGTAGCAGGGTCAAAACGCTTTGGTGATGAATATTCAACTATTGTCTAGAAGGGAACAGTCAAAGCGATGGAAGCGAAAACCTTAATTTCCATTCTATACATTGTTTCAACAACATTCCAGGAGTTTACAGCGGGATCATATTCTTCTATTGTGTTCTTGGAATTATTCCTGCAAAATAAAACAACGAAATCTAATTTTTAAATAGCAAACTCAAAAATTGATATTTATATATATACATAGTTATACATAGGTTGAATTTTTACTTATTTCTATTTCAATGGCAAGTAGTTTCATAAATCAAGGTCCAACTCACCCTCCAACAGCAAATATCTTTCCTTCAACTACACAGGCTTTGAAATATGATCTTGAATTGTTTAATCTGGCAACAGGGGTCCATGTTTCAGCAACTGTATCAAAGCATTCCACAACGTTCAAGCCATTGTTGTTTCCACCTCAAATAATGAGAACAAAAAAAATTATATTGCAGATTTATTTATTTGAATCACTATGCAATATCTTGCCGCAGAACAAGTTTATAATTTTCCAATTGCTGAACAAAAAATATTTTAAATTATGGGGAACGCACTCATTGCAATAAATATGTTTCCAAATTTTGCCAGTTTTGTTTTGGAAAATCCTTCTAAATCTACGAGATAATATATTATATTCTTCAACCAACTCTCCTAAATAACGTAAATGTGATCATATCAAAAAGTTTACAATGAAAAAAATTGCACGCAAAGCCTTTTCACAAGTCCACCACTCAAATTTAAAATAATCTAGTTTACAAAATAAAGGGAAAAAGATAGTAGTTAAATTCTATAATATTTGTAAATCTCAATAGCTGCTAATCTAACACCTGGTTTGCAGTGTATGCGCAGGTCAAAATGTTTTGACGAGTAAATCCTCACCCATGACATAAATCTTTTCTTCAAGTTCAACTGCAGCCGCACCATATCTTGCAGTCGGCTTTAAAGGAAGTGTTGTCCATGTTGAATCTGATGGATTGAATTTTATTGCATTTGATAGAATTTTATCCTTGAACCCTCCAATACAGTAAATGAAACCTGAATAAATATTTGATAAAAAATTAATATCGCATCACTGAAGAGATTATCACTATGTTTAGTGTATTAAACTCTCTGAAACAATTTCGATACAAGCAAGTTCTTGCATCATTACGGTTGCGGTATGCCCAATAGAATAACGATAATGAATAATAATAGTTGTGAATATAGAAAATATCGTAGGCTATTCTCTTTTATAATTTTTGAATGAAATGCAGGTCTTCTACGTTATACTGAGGGAAATAAATTGCCTACTTAAAGTAATAATTTTACATAGGTCACATTCTTAAAATGATGAAGTTAAAATATTCAACTAATTTCTACAAATCAATTCTAATAGTCGCACCTCTGACATTCTTAAGGCGCCTGAGCAGCAGTTTGAGAACTTGCTTTGCTGCCTCAGTTCACAACCATCACAGGCAATTAAATACCAAACTACTACTCAAAGTATTTACTATAAATCATATGACAACGAAAACAGTGTATATTTTGCAGTATTATTTCATCCTTCATCAAACCTACCTCCTGCAGCAACTACAGATGTATAATATCCTTCCGCAGGTCTATCAGTGACATGAGACCAAATTCCATCAGATGGATCAAATTTCCAACTGCTTTACTTTCGTTGCCAGAATCATCAAATGCATAAATTAAACCTGGTTGTTAGAAAATATATGAATCGATTAAAATGTAAAGATGAAGAAATAAGTAATCACCGAATCAGCTTCGGGAACGTAACTACATCAGGACTAAACTAATAACTAACAAAAGAACAGCAATCCAATTTTATTTTAATTTATTACAATTTCCTACTGCAGGTGATCAATACTACAGAGCAAATATGATTCAGAATAACTTATACTGAGGTAACGGTGACATTTCATTTATAATAGCAACCATGGGAAATTTGGAAATTAAACTCTAAAATACGCTCCCGGATTCACCTTTAAACTTGCTTATGAAATACCAACCTTCAAATGCAACAGCAGCCACGCGTTTCTTTGTTGTCCTCCGATCTGCCAGTTTAACCCACGTAGCATTGGGATCAGTATAATTCAGTTGATAATTGGTTCCATTAGACACAAGAACACATATGCTGTTACCGAGTACAACAGCGGTGAAGCCTTTGCCAACAAATTCATCACTGATGCCCTGTTGAGAACCATTCAAATATATTTTAAATCAGCGGTTCCCAAACTATGGGTCGCGACCCACTGGTGGGTTGCAAAAGGAATCTTAGTGGGTCGTGAAAAGATGTAGAAAGCTTTGAATAATTATACTGGTTATTAGGATCGGTGGCGACTCGAATACGTAAATCTTCAAAAAAAAAAAAAAATTAAATTGAATTTAAATTCTAATCTGTGAAAGTTACCTTTTTACAATCTTCTCAAAGGAACAAAAATTTGCGACACGAAGAATGACCATGTGGCTTTTTACGCATAGCAGTTTTGTACACTGTACAGCACTTCTTACCGTGTTTTCCCGAAATTTAGACAGAATTTAGATTTATTTCCTTTTGAAGAATAACACCAGGTTTTTTTTTTTTGAAAGAGGTCTTTCGTGTTCATTTATCAAAAATAAAATTACATTGTAAACAATCACACGATTTTTCAATAAACATTATATAAAAACCGACATCCGTTGTTTTTATTTGTATTTACTATACAAAAATCAAGTGACAAATATCATAATTGTGATTGTGATATCACACAATCCTGAATCTTCACCTTATCTCATGTCATTAAACCTTTCCTCTCCCACACATTTTAAATTTATTTCAAGGTAGGGTTTAAATGAAATCCTTTTTAAAATTTAAATTAGGTCTTATTTTCAGGCCAGGTCTTATTTTCGAGAAAACACAGTAGTTTTAAGGTGATTACCCTTTGCTGTGTTCTGTGTTATGTCATAAAGAGTTTAATGAGTCGCCACGAGATGTGGTAATAAATAGTGGGCCCCAACTCTAAAAAGTTTGGGAACCACTGATTTAGATGATAAAATCAGGGTTACGAATACCTTTATTATTTTGGTTTGACCAACTTGTATTGGAAATTATGGACTGTGTACACAACATGAATATGCATTTAGGATTAAAAAAAAAAAATTAATAAAATTAAATAGGACACCAAAAAGTCAGGAGTTATTCTAAAAGTTTCACCCAAATTGCTTTTATTGCTTTCAGTGGTTAAAGTTTCGATAATTTAAGAGTAGAGACTTGGGAGTCGATTATTTTTTTTTGCATGCAATGGAGTTGTTTCATACTACATGCATACAATATTACTTACATGCACCAAAGTCCAAACATTCAGAAGATAATTCAAGCAACAGCTACATTTCGTTGAAGTTGCCTTTCAATTTTTTCTTTAAAACTACAGCAATTTTATGTTACTACGTAAATTTGATGTTATGCATATATTAACTACAAAGCACATTTTTATCTGTAAAATTTGAATACTACAAGAATATATAATGAACAATGAATAATAAACCAATAAGAGTGTCAAACCTGCAGTCTTTTCCAAGTTTTTATCCTTGGCTTAAATGCTTGAATTGATTTTGAATTTTTGTCAAAAACAGCAATCACTGAAAATAAAGAGGAACTCTGAGTATAAATGGATAAAATAGCGGGAATTAATCTCGTAGGTTATTTATAAAAATAAAATGATATAAACAATGTTGAACCAACCACAAGTCTTTAAAACTGAACTCCCATCCTAATGAATTAAAGTTGGATCATAATATTTAAAACCAGGAATGTGTATTAAACTTATGTAATTTACCAAATTTATACAATACTTTCGAATTATCACGACTAACCAATACTTTTGATGTCAATATCTTCAGCCACAACTTGCGATCCGCCAGTTAAAATCTCCAGAAGTGCTCTGAGGCAACGACTAGAATCATATACCAATGGCTGAAACATAAAATCAATTGTCTGTGAGTACATAATGATATAAAACAAAACCATCGGGTTGGATGGTATTTCACACATTACTGTAAGAGCAGCCATTGTGGGGAAAAATGCATCTAGATAAAAGTTGACTATTTTCCTTCTCTTCAACTATGTATCGGTTATTGTTTTTGAGGTTTTCAAGTTATATGCTTTTTTATAACATTTTTTACAGTAGCCAATGACATTAAAGCAGATATTATCAAGTCACAAACAAAAATTGAATATATTTACTAAAATTAACCACAACGCAAGAATTATAATCCGACTTTAGCAAGTTCTCCATTTGCCAAAATAAACCGGTTTTGACCCCGATTTTTGATCGAACTATCAAAGACCATAAAATTAGTTTCCGACAATTTTATCTTCATGATTTTTTTGGTTATGTTATCACTTTTTATAGCTCATCAGATTCAAAATAAATGATCTAATTATGTATTGTCAGAAAAACATTGGAAGTTTAGCAAAGTCTAGTTAGTACCCACCTAGTTGATTATCAAAATATCATGTAAATAAACTTATTTCCCAACCTCTTCCTCCACCAAAAACTTTTGATATTTTCTCGCTATTTTTGTCAAATCCAGATTAACAAATAATTCTCCGAACGTCGATGCCCGAGTCTCTGATTCAAAGTTGGTCCAGATAATCAAAGCTTTGCACTTGACAGCTTCAGAGGCCTTTAATCGGAAAGAAATCAAATTTTAAAAACATCTCAAAAGATTTCATTACTTCAATTGTTATCCTGGGCTATCTATGATGATTAATAATATCAACTGTATATAAAAGGATTAACAAGCTACATCAGATTTATGTTGATATAGGCATGAAAAAATACAGTCCGCAAAGAAGAGCCATTTCGAAAAATACACTTTTATCACTTCTTACATTGACTTCTTTTGATCCCACCATAAAGGAAACATAATCTTTATCCAAATGTTTAAAATCATCTTCAGCAACAATTGATTGAAAATTCTTTAGAGCATATTTGTTGCAACTTTCAACTAAACCAGTGCAGTTGAAAGTGTTTGCGATCATCTTAGTTGAATAAAACGATTGTGGACTCAGTTCTTCCTTAAGAGATATTGCAATTTTGTCACACATACCTGTATGTGAAACAAATAGTAGGGATTTCACGTATAAAATGCAGTCACTCCTATAATTCAAGGTTTGGTTTGTTGTAGTTTGTCACTTCAGTAAATATCCTTAGTTCAAATTACAGAGAAAAATTCCACACAGGTTTCACACACCACACTCACGCATATTTTAAACAGCAATATATTGCTGTTGGTCATCACAGCAAATGCTCAACTACTGACAAAGCTAAGTCCAAGTCAGGTTATTGCCCAAGCTCGATTTAACGTTCAACTTAATACGAAATGTCAATATAAGAGAATTATCATAAAGCTTCACCTTGTAATTGGAGCATATGGGCGGTAAACATCAATTCTTCACGCTCCTCACGACCAGGAGTGGGAAAATTACCAGTGTAAATGTAATTGATGCAAGTTTTCACACTTAAGTATTGAACTTGTTTCATTGCCACAATGCCAGTGCTGCTCTCAACATTCTGGAACATGGACAATAAATGATATACGTAGATATATATTCAATATTTTCATAAAATGATTTTCTGATGATCTTGGTTTAGTTAATCAGGTATAAATATTTTACAATAGAACAGAGAAAAATAATATGTCTGAATATTAGTTTTACGTGAGAATATCTTCTACTACTTGATCTATTAAGATGTAACACTCACTTCATGAGTCAACATTGCACGAAAGTAATCTGATCCGGCTGACAGAACATTCCTGTGTGCTGGTATTTTCTCATCGCCAACCATAATTGCAAAGTCACCATGGACTTTTCTCTGTCTGAAATTAAAACGAATAATATTGCATGAATAAGCAATTTCCATATATATTTTAAGAAGAGAGAAGCCTATATACATTCTTATTCAAATATCAGTCCAACTTACTTACAGGAAGAGTTAAACAATAAATCGTTTTGAAGACCCATGAATTCGGGTTCAACTCAAACATTAATATTTCTTTAATCCGATCTTCTTAGGTTAGGTGACAAAAAGTTGGGTTTTTCTTTGTTTTTACCCCACCGCCTTTTATTTATCTTATGTTTTTTTACTGATATAAAATTTTGACTGACCGACTAAAACCCCATTCTATATAGCAGTGTTTTTCAACCGTGGTTCCGCGGCATTTTGGGATTCCGCCTGTACAGTCATGAGGTTACGCAAGTTTTCATTCAATCCGAGTTCGAATAGACCAATATTTTGTTTAATTGGTGTTCCGCAACCACCGCGCCAGGCAAATATCAAACTTATATTCCCAAATTTTATACTAACGTGTTTCCGTGTCAAACGAAATGTACTTGAAAACGCAAAAATACTTTCAGACATGACTAGGAAGGAGTAATCTATAGATACTGATTTGGAAATAATCCTTATTACAAAAAAACGAGCTGAAAAGTTAAAACATCTGTAAAAATCTCAATTCAAACTTTTTGAGGTTCGAATATTGGTAATTTTGTAAACATATGTTTTTAGAGGATATTGAAATATTTCAATTTTTTTTTTAATGGAATTTTCATTGGTTAACTCATAATTTTGCTCCCGGGACCGGAAAAGCTCGAAAAATTCGATTATCTTACCTAGAATGTTCAATTTTCACAAAATTGCCAATATTCGAACCCAGAAAAGTTCGAAAAATTGCGGGATATCACAACAATTTTTTGTTCAAACAAATGTTTATGTTAGTCCATCTTCTACGGGTAAATTCATATTTTTCCCCCGAGACCGGGAAAGTTCGAAAAAATTCGATTTTTACAAAAATATTCAATTTTTACAAAATTATCAATCCTCGAACACAATAAAGTTTTTTCAAAATTGTCAACATAAACCCTCGATTATCTCATCAAAATTTTCAACTTTTTACAAAATTGTCAATATTCGAATTCAAAAAATCGCAGGATATCAACACAATTTTTTGTTGCTATGAAACTTATATTAGTCCTCTATTATTAGTGAATTAATATTTTTTGCTCTGGGACAGGAAAAGTTTGGAATAATTTAATCATCTCATCAAAATTTTTAATTTTTACAAAATTGTCAATATTCAAACCCAAAAAGTTCGAAAAATCGCAGAATGCCACCAATTTTGTTGTTTTGCCTTTATATTATTTGGTCTTTTATCAATGGTTAAATGGTATTTTTTTCCTCCTGACTGATAAATATCGAAATAATGATCTTACTACTAAATTTTCTAGTAAATAAATGCAATTTTCACGAAATGTGAAATATTCGTATGTTTGATAGCTTCGTCTTGAAGTAACCATTAATTCCACGATAAATATTGTGAAAATATAACAAGATTTCTTAATGCTGTCTTTATTTTATGATTCAGGGCACACCCTGGTATGACATCCGGTACAATTCTTCAAACATTTTACTGGTATTGCGGTAGTGGTTACGCTCCACCAAAAAGATTGAAAACCACTGCTGTATATAGAAACGGTATACACCATGCCACTAACAATAGACTATGCCAATGAACCGAGATGATTCGCAAATAAAAAGCAACATTGCTTACTTCAGCAGAATAACATTACCTTAACTAACTTGTAACAATTCTGTCAGTTTAGATAGGGGGTTCTTAACAAGGTGGGCATGCACCTCCACAGAGTGCGAGAATGCTGGATCGTGATACATGAAAATACTGAATATATATACGGTAGGGTGTCCATAAATCTTAAAATAATTTAAATTTGCCGAGGGAATTTATCGATACCATAAATTGTTTTGGCTCTCACAGAAGTATTAAAAGTAGTAAAAATATTTAAACAAGTACTGAATAATTAAACATTACAAACCTACAATATTAACTGATCAGTGAATTCAAGTTAAATTATATGTACTTACTCGTTTAGTGCCATCATCATTTTCCCACAGTACATCAAATCATAAGCATCAAGAGGATTCATTTTTTAGTTTAAACTTTTAACTTAACCGTGTAACTGATCTAGCAAAAACTAAATGAAAAGTACTTTTTAGAGAACCGTAGCTGTGTGGATAACACTACCTGTCTTTTTTATCTATTCATTCCCTCGAATAAAAATCACATTCATCCCATAAGATAAATTCTCCCATCGATAATTGCTTCTCATAATGCTGAAATGCGAAATAATTATATCAAATTTCATTACTAACTTAAATTTCATGATTTTGCAACACTCCTAATGAAGTCTAAGTATATAGGTTCTAGACCTATCTTTAGCTCACAATACAGGCCATTAGATACTACTAAGTACTTTCACAAAGTCAAGTAGATCACAAGAAAATAGAATTAAGTTGCGATACTATACAAGCTAACTGATACATGGCTACGCGGTGTTATAACAGATTTCACTATTTGATGTAGATTGTAAAGAATTCTGTGACGTCAAACTATTACGAGGACTTCACGTGAAGGTTCATTTGGTACAGAATAAGGCGAGTTTAAATCATAGGTAATTAAATAGTCTTCATGCCTGATACAAGAATAAATATTGCCTGAGAACAAAGTCTATAAATATATTTAAACAATATCGCTGAGAGTCTTATTACTTGGTACCGTTCGTTGTATGATGAGTTAATAATTAACAACACAACAGTTAACAGACTTACATAGAGAATATGCTTTGTATGTGGGACATAGTTACACATGAAATATCAGTTTATACATACTTCTATATCACTTGCTTTAAGTGAATCACAAATTTCCCTTTGAACAAGTCTCTACGTAAGCAACCACTGAGACATGGGCTGATGGGCAGATAGAAAAACTCGGAGTAATAAGTCTTCAATAACCCGAATCATATTGAGTGTTTTTACTACACTGACACATAACAAGTCCAATAATCTTTCATAAATTCCAGAAGGTTCGACTCTAGTTTGACTCAAGTTTAAATTGAGCCTTCCTAACACTGATCAGTAAGCTTTTTATTTCCTAGAGATTAAAGAAAATATAACTGCTTTTCAAAATATTGCATTTTTAAGCTTTTTCATAGCAATGATTTTCCATGATTGATATCATCAAAAGACCGTATAAATGAAGTAACCGAGCAATCTCCAATATCATTTCTATGACGTTGAATGCTTCATTTAACATTAGTAATTACTGACAGTAACAATCTATCAACAGATCTTTATGCTTAAAATATAATACTGTTAGGACAAAGTAGTTTGTTAAAAATTCAAATAATATAAAATCAAATGAAACTAATGCCAAAAAATGCAGCCAGATATATGAACGACTTGCGGCCCTATATTGTTTTACTTTTATATAGAACTAATTTATCGACATTTAGTCCAAAACAGGATCTTTACAAGAAGCCACTAATATGTGACGCATTAATATACCATATTTATTTACACCCTGAGTAATGTGTTACTCATTGGCCTTGAACTACAGATGTAAATATAGTCAAGTCCAACCCTCCAACCACTAGACTAGACCATCCTTGTGCATTTACATAAGGAGTTATAATATTTTGTATAATTAATATGTTGAATTTCTTATTTCTAACCATGAAACCAAGCATCAAACGTGTTGTCTTTGGGATCTTATTATAAAATAAACTGAGCGAGTTGACCAACCTCTAAGACATATCCAATCACTTTAAGTTTGAATCACTTCCATATACAACGATATTTGGATCTTTCAATCCTAACGAGTCTGTTAGATATAGATTACAAAGACTTAAGGAATACCATAGGAATACAAACTCTCATATGGAATATCAAGTTTCCAATAAAAGTGACATATTATGACACCTATTATGGAGTATTTCTGATTCTCAAATGTCAGCCTACGCTGAAACCAGCAGTAGGCGAAATACTAAATTAATAATAATGGACACAAATGATAAATGGCTGAGAATGAGGGTAAAATTTAGACTCTACACAATACAAAAATGATTAAATGCAGCCTGAAAAATACAAAAATGGTTAAGTGCAGCCTGAAAACACGAAAATGGTTAGATGCAGCCTGAAAAACACAAACATGGTTAAATGCAGCCTGAAAAACACAAAAATGCTTAAATGCAGCCTGAAAAATACATAATAGTTAAATGAAGCTAGAAAAACACAAAAATGGTTAGATTCAGTTGAATAAATACAAAAATGGTTAAATGCAGCCTGCAAATACAAAAATAGTTAAATGCAGTCTGCAAAAAGATCATGGTGTCGATCGATACAAAAGAATGATGGTAAATGAAATGTCCAATCAGATTATCATTGGAAAAAAATATTCCTAAATTTTATCACCTGCCGGACTGAGCTGTTTCCTATTCGACATTCTTAAAACCTCCTATCTAAACACATAGTTAGATTCTTCTGTGGAACTCTATCTATCTATAACTTATAAATTGACAGACAAGAATGGATTTGTAGCACCACACAAGTGAAGAATCACCTGCGAAGCGTAGAGTCCTACTTCCACCTTCGCGTCCTTTGCTCTTCGCCCAATGGCCATGACCCTACATCAAATAGTAACTGTTCGTACAACTAACATAAACGCTAAACTATAGATTTATGAGTGTTGCTGCTCAATAACCAACATTGCCTTTTTGCGTCAACCTTCACCATGAAATGCCATTTTCATTTTTTCCCTAAGTTTTGTTTGCCTCAAGTGTATTTTTATTCTGGTGAAAATAAACTACTGACTGGCTTCATCTGTTGGCTGTAAAAAAACAGGAAGAACGTTTGATTGGAATGAATGTGTAAAATATCTATTTATCTCGGATCTTGGTTCATTTTGTTAAACAAATTCTTGACCAAACAATAAAAGCGCGAACGGCAACTAAGTAAAACGATTTATAATTTCAATATCAATTCAATCGCCTTCTCCAAGCCATTCTATTTGACGATCTTTGAAACATCCAGTCAGCCAAGCAATAGGACAATTGCAGTTCTTTGCAATATTCATTCTCTTCTGATACAGACGAGCTTGCAACACGCTATATATGTTTCAGTATAGAATCTATATATTACACTGAAACAAGAAAATAAGTTAGATGAACGCATATGACCCGGACAGTTAAATCAATTTCCATCCGTTTGCAAGTGTAGGCCGACAACACTTATTGCACGAGCTTATTGAAATAGCAATTGAAATAGCTTTAGCCACGAACGAACCGATGGCGGCTCTTGCCATGATTTATCCACAAAGTCATGTACTATATTTAAATTTAACATTCGGAATTATATCTACTTAGACTTGAAATCTAATCCCAAATCTATCAAAACTGTCTCCATAAGAATAATGTTCCAACTTACCCAATCTTTGTCAACATCATGGGGCAGCCCTACCATTACAGCTGGCATGCCGTGGTTACTGCAGCAAAATTGAACTCGCCATTGGTCTTCAACTCGCTGCCGTGGTAACGGCATATCGCCATATGGCCATAGCGGCCATGGTTTGGAAATCCAGCCATGGTTTTGCGGCAGCTCTAGACGCCACAAGATACTTAAAACTGCACTTGCATACTGACCAGTGCAGCGAACAGGGTTACATGAGATATTGCGAAATGAGGCTTTGATGACGTGCGTCATCCACATGCAATGGATGTTTGCACGACCCCCGGAAAAAAATTAATTTTGGTATTTTGTGAGATGATGGTCGCGAACTAATTTACATTCGAGAAAAACATTTGGTTTAAATTATTTAACCACTTGGCATTGAAGAATACCAGCAATTTAGTCTAAGCTACCTAAGCTTTTTGGATCTATTTTTTGATTATTAAACTACAACTCTTGCAGCGACAAACCGACCAATAAGGTATTTGATATACATAATTGAAACGAACCTGAATAGGCACGATTACTAGCGGTAGCTATGAAACCTGGTCAAAACTTACAACTATGGTTGAAAATATGTCGGAGTGACGGAAGCATTTCTGTTACGTCACCTTTGGGTTATTGCTCATTGGTGTTGGTACTGTTTTGAACAACAAAGTGGACTTGGTGGACAAAGTGGAAACATGTAATTGCCATCAGCTTTGTTCATGCAAGAAAAAAAACTACATAACAAACAATAAGTGCATTGTAACCCATATTTATTCATACACCATGATCGGACAAAAGGCCGTGGTTTGTCATATGGCTAAGCGCTACGCAGAATTTTCTGCCCAAATCGATAAATGAAAAAGCTTTATATAAAACTACCATCATCAAACGACTTGTGACATTCTCAACACAAGATCCATTGCACAAAATATGAAACAAACACGACATCAAAATTTTATTGAAACCTCAGCCTTTCAATCGTTGACGAATTTAAATTTCAAACCTATCCAACAACATATTATCTTGGCAAAAAACTGTTTTACCCCCCTATTCATGTCGCACATGAATATGATTGCGGTAAAATCGTCATGCAAACAAAACACAAGACAGCTCTTATGCGCCTAGAACAACCTTAGGCGGTGTGGAGCATCGTGAAGCCTTGGCAATCCATTCGCTACAGTGCTTCTGATTGCCTGCGCGGGTTCGCATGTTCGAATCACGTGGGGTACAATAAATACAAGCATAAACGAAGTTTTATTCAAAAACAAATACGTTTGAAGTTGATATATTTAGAGTGATTGAATTACCGATACCGCAATTATTGGACTTGGCCTGAGTGATTTGTTGTTTAATATTCAAAGGACATATATGCTACTTTCAATGTCAGCGTCAAACATCCTATTAACTGGATTTAGATACCCAGATCCATTGTGTTATGCCGACAAACCTGTCCCGGTTTATTGACATTCTATAAAAAAGCATTTTAGAATCAAGTATTGGTACTGCGTTTGTGTCCGAATTCACTAAACATAGTCACCCATACAGAAGCAGATTGCTGGAGCGAAACTTAGCTATCGCATCCAGGCAATCAGTCATTAACAAAGTGATTCTTTGTAAGCTTCTCAGAAAGTATAGACTTGGAGGGACCATGACGCGAACAATAATGGCCACGACCGTATACAATGTTTAGTAACTGAGCGTTTATTTTTTCATCATATTTGAAATTCACATTTTACTTTTATTTTGCAGACAAGGTATTTCAGAACCAACGGAGACTGGTATTCGACCAACGTAATCTATTATTCATAATAAGTTGGCATAATGGAATGACTAATTACAATTATTATGTTTATATACAAAAATTATTTATACAATAAAAAGCTGCTGTTTTAATCAAGCATGTGGTATGGGTAAATCAGTAACAGTTCTCAAACAAACATTAAAGTGATTGCCAATCATTTTTGTAAAAGGCCTCAGACTGGAAGCATTTGCATTTGGGATACCCATTCACTGTTTATATAAGGAACATTTAAAGCAATGGAAGCGAAGTCCTCAATCTCTTTCCCATCCATTGTCTCAACAACTTTCCAGGAATTTACAGCGGGATCATATTCTTCTATTGCATGGTTGTAATTATTCCTGCAACGGAATAACGACGCAATCAAGTAATAAATAGCCAACTCAAGAATGGATATATATATATATATAGTAATACTTCGCTGAAATTTTCACTTATTTCATTAATTCTATTGAAATGAGGAGCGATAGGGCACACTTTGTGTTTTTTTTTCAGTAATATCTGCGCATGGAAATGACACAATCCGGGTTGCGATTAACCATGCTAAACTTTTCGAATTTTTCCAGTCACAGCAACTGTACAGTCAAATGGTTTGCTTATTCAAAATTTGAATTATTAATAAACAAAATACCTTGTTTTCACTTTTGGTTTGGGCAACATGTTGATTGAATAATGAATACGTGTAATGAATATCTTCATAAATCAAATTCCAACTCACCCTACAACAGCAAATATCTTTCCTTCAACAACACAGACTTTAAAAAATCTTCTTGGATTGCCTAATCTGGGAACAGTGGTCCATGTTTCAGCATCTGTATCAAAGCATTCCACAATGTCCAAGTAGCCACTGTTGTATCCACCTTGTAAAACAATAACTACGATGAAATATTTAAAAGTTTTATATTAATCAGCCGATTTGCAATGCTTTGGTTTGGCACAAGTCAAATAGTGAATTATTTTCCGACTGCCAATCAAGAAAGATTCTGGAATTATCAAGAACTGATATAACGAAGATACTTCGAATTAATTACGAACAATTTGCAGTTATTTTGCATTTAAAAGTCAGTCTGAAGAAAAATATTAAATTCATGAAGCACACGCCTGACTTGATGTTAACGGTATTAGGATAAAGATCTCAGGGTTTAGTATCGGTAGGTGAAACGTTTGCTTATGCTGCATTAAAAGTTGTAAGTTAACTGTCAATTTGCAGAATATCCGTGCACCTGACTTATATCTGTGACCTGCTACTTATCGAGTACCTGATTGGCAGTGCATGCGCAACACAAGATATATTTAAAAGCAAGTTCTCACCCACGACATAAATCTTCCCAATAAGCTCAACTGCTGCTGCACCATTTCTTGCAGTCGGCATTGAAGGAAGTTTTGCCCATGTTGAATCTGATGAATTGAATTTCATAGTATTGGATAGGTATCCATCGTTGAGACCTCCAATACAGTAAATGGAGCCTGAATAAAATGAAAAATCAATGTGCAAGTTGGAAATCTTTTATGTAACCACAAATGCTTTCACCAAACACAAGTTTCTGAAATCACATATGGAATTTTATTATTTGAAGTATGACTTCATCATTTATCAAACCTACCACCTGCAGCAACTATTGATGAATAAAATCCTTTCACAGGTCTATCAGTGACAGGAGACCAAGTTCCACCAGATGGATCAAATTTTTCAACTGCTTTACTGTTGTTGCCAGAATCATCAAATGCATAGATTGAACCTGGTTGTTGAAAAAATGAATGAACGTCTTGAAGATCGCTCGTATGGACAACACGATTCATGTACATACTTGTCAGTTAGAGCAATTTCACTCATCTGTTTTTTCATTTATCACCACATTATCTATTATAGACTGTGGAGTCACGAGCAAATTATAGAAAGCGTACAGGATTAGCCAGACAACCATGGAAAATTAGAATACTCCACTTGCAATTGAGAAACTTGCTTATGTCATACCAACCTTCAAATGCAACAGCAGTCACACGTTTCTTTGTTAACCTCCGATCTGCCAGTCTAACCCATGTAGCATTGGTATCAGTATAATTAAGTTGATAATTGGTTCCCATAAACACAAGAACATAGATGATGTTACCGAGTACTACAGTGGTGAAGTGTCTGCCCATAAAGTCAACTCTGATGTTCTGTTGAAAAACAAAAGCAATCGATAAAACCATGGTATCGCATTGACGTTTTTGTGGTCAAAATTTTAACGGTCCAAGAGTAGAAACTTGGGATATTTTTAACGCATGTAATGAAGTTATTTCAGACTACATACGCGCACCAAAGTCCAATCATTCAGAAGAAAATTCAAGAAATATGTTTAGTTGGAATTTCGTTTCGAAAATTTTACCTCAGCCTCATTTTTTTTCAAGTGCATAGTAGCATCTGAAGTTAGTCATGTATCAGTTACAGAAAATATTTCAATTTGCAAATAAATAGATGACTAAAATTTGAATAACACAATAATTAACAATGAATAATTATCCAATAACAGTGTCAAACCTGCAGTTTCGTCCAAGTTTTCATCTTTGGATGGAATGCTTGAATTGATCTCGATTTCATATTAAAAACAGCAATTGCTGAAAAGTAATAGAGAATTGTAAACATGAATGGGAATCAACCAATAGAATAGAGTAACCAAATAACACCTAGTTTGTATTATAACACCATGAAATCATGCCACTACCTTACGGAAAATAATACTGACATTTCGTTTCCTATAAACTTACCGTTAATTGGCTTGGAAGCATCTGAAAAAGTGAAAAACAATTTTAAAATAATTTTAAATCAATGACTTGTGACGAAAACTGAATTAGCAAAAGTTTGCTTATCCAGTTAGTGACGTTATCACAACCAATCAATGTACGTACTTTTGATGTCAATATCTTCAGCTACAATACGTGGTCCACCAGTTAAAGTATTCATCAGTATTGCATGATGACGTGCAGAATCAAAGACCAAAGACTGAATTACAGAACAAAGTCCATTGTCACTGGGTGTAATATTCATATGTATGAAATGAATTAATAAATCAGTGTTCAATGTATACAATACACAAAACTAGCTGTCAACAAAGTCACACATGTTGTTATTTTCTGTAACTTGGCACAAAATGAAACGTCACATGTTCAGCAATGTCAAGTACTCCACTACAATAACTATCCTCAATGCCAAAAAACAAAATTAATTCCCCAACCTCTTTCTCCACCAAAAACTTTTGATATTTCTCCGAAATCTTCGACAAATCCAGATATTCTAATAATTTTCCAAATATCGATGCCCGAGTCTCCAAATCAAAGTTGGTCCAGATAATCAAAGCTTTGCACTTGACAGCTTCAGTCGCCTATAATTGAAATAAGACTTATTTATCAATATGTAGGAATTTGAGTTCTTCCATACAAATTTTGATGATTTACTGGGTTATGATTAAAAATATCATGGGTGAGTAAGGACCTACATATTTCTATTGAAGTGAACAAGAAACATATTTTAATTTTATCTTTATATCCCATACATTGAATAATTTTGATCCAAGCAGGAAGGAAACATAATCTTCATTCAAATGTTTGAACTCGTCCTCAGTGGCAATTGATTGGAAATTCTTCAGAGCATATTTGTTGCAACTTTCAACTAAACCAGTGCAGTTGAAAGTGTTTGCAATCATCTTTGTTGAATAGAACGATTCTGGGCTCAGTTCCTCCTCAAGCAATATTGCAATTTTGTCGCACAAGCCTGAATATAATTGTGATTTAAATATATAAAGCAGAGAACAGCAGTTTTAGACTCCAGATTTTCAATGTCGTGTATTTGGTTTATTTTTCATTTTTTCATCAATTCAACCGAGGGAACAGAGAAATAGGAATAAAAAAGCTACAAAAAGCTTAACAAAAATTTGGCAAAAAAAGGACTGATTGTCAATATTGTTGTTGTGCATTACAAGAATTCCTTACCGGCTGATAAAGCTAACTCTATAAAAATTGATTGAGAATACAACTTGTTCCATTATCAATTTGAAAATATTTAACACAAGCCACTCACCCTTTATTTGCATCATAGACGCGGTGTGCATAAGTTGCTCGCAATCTTCTTCATCATGAGTGAGAATATTACCAGTATGAATATAATCGATGCAAGTTTTTACGCTTGAGTACTGAACTTGTTGCATCGTCACAATACCAGTTCTACTTTCAACATTCTGGAATATAACGCAACGAATTATGTTCATTCTTGGCATATATAACACTTAAGATTGACAAGGTTGACAAGAGCCAAAGGTAGGTTAACAGTTACTGAATTAATTAACTACGGATAACTGTTATCCGACTTGACTATCAGAACTTTTGGGCTACCCTGTATATTGGGAGGTTTTATGACTCAATCTTCGCCGAGTTCACGGTGGGGTTGTAAAGTATTAGGGAATATAGCTCAGAGCCTTTTATAGGGTTTCATAAATCCTAATTATTACTATTAGTTAAACAAGAGAATATCTTCTATTACTTGATTAATCATGATTCAACACTCACTTCATGAGACAACATTGCACGAAAGTAATCTGATCCTGCTGACAGAACATTCCTGTGTGCTGGTATTTCTTTATCACCAACCATAATTGCGAAGTCACTATGTTCTTTGCTTTCTCTTTGTCTGAAATGAATTAACTAACATATTTACATTTAAAAAAACTGCAAAACTTACCAAGTTTGTATTCATTTCAAAGCATCGATAAATTTTTTGTTTCAACTCCAGGGTAGAGAAAAGCAAATAAGACAGCTTGATAATAAATGAATCATGACGTTTATTCCAGTTGATTGAATACAAAAATAACTAACTAGTGACCAAATGTAACACTGCAGTGCTCACTATTAGCGCTTTTTTTGCGAAAAGTACGAGGCCCTTTCGCAGTTATTTTGAAAAACTGTGAAATCGCCATTTTTTCCATTTTTGAAGAGATAAATTTTAAAGTTCACAAATAATTTTTGTTCGAGTATAAAGTTGACAAGTAAACAATGCGCCTTTTCTCCCACAAAACGTGTCGACCCGGAGTCGGAATGCGACACCGCTTTTCCTATGTTCGTATGAAAGAGAGTGGTCATGTGATCAAAGTGCACCAGCTGCTAGTGCAATAATTTTAACTGAAAAAATGCAACTCGAAAGCGAAAGTTTATCGCACACCCGTTCCCTTGCTCAGGATGGGAAATACAGAATACCGAATCCCAGGATTCGGTGTCCACCTCTTCGGCGCTATCGAGAGTTTTTGTATTTTGGATTTCTAATTTATTTAACGAAGACGAGCGCTTTCTTTCGAGTCGATTATTAATGTTGACTTACTGGCGATATTCCGGTCACCATGCTTCATTTTTCACTTTAAATGATCTTTCGCGTAAGATATCTTCCGAAAAATGGTGTAAACCAAATTAATTGTGTTTAATGTCACCCATGTAAATAAAAACATAAGTACTCTATATTACAACCGCGTTTGTTATCGCCGTTTAAAAAATCCGAAGATCTGCTATGAAGTCCCATAGAGAACAATTAAATTTGGTACAATAAAAATGCATATAAAGTATATTAGTACAGTCACTTCGTGTTTCAGAAAAATTTATTTATCGCTTCGAAATCACCGAGGAAACAGTCTAAAGTTCTAAACAGTTACGCTACTTGTTTAAAAAGCCAATATTTCCGTTGCGCAAAGTATTCAATTCATAACCGATAGGGGCATATTTAAAACGTTTTATTAATTTGATTTTAGTTCAGTTTTAACTGCAGTTGTGCCGTCAAAGTGATAGCATCGTTCAATTTATTTAGTAACATAAAACTAATTGAATCAGATTAATTATCTTATATATCATCACAATCAGGGAATCTGTCGCGGGCATCCTACAACAAAATAGTTACGTCTTATTTTTAGTATTTTATATTGCAGCTTTTCAATTAAAAAATTTGCGTTGCAAATTCCCTCCTTCATTTGTCTTTAGCAATTTGCCGCTGATAAATGTATAACTCTCACAATCTCACCGGATTCACAATTCTGTGCGAATATAAAAATAAAGTATCATTGTTATCATGACACAAATTTGTGATTTGGAAAAAAAAACTATAAGCGTTTAGAGCCTAAATAACACGTCATGTCTTCTATGGCACATGGAAACACTTATATGATATATGAAATTTTTCTTATCTGTTCGTAATGGACCCAAACTTTGGAACTTTCTTCTCTCAAATTTTAAAACTTTTAAGTCAAAAAAATCTTTCCAAAAACAAGTCAAGTCTTGTCTAGTCTCCAAATATTAAAAATTACTGTCCCAAAACCTCAATGATACGTTTTAATAGTTTCGAAGCAATCAAACCTGTGTAGCATGCACTTTATGTTTAGGTAAGCTATTGCCGTGGAGTTGACTTGTTCACCAAAGTAGTATTTTAGGCTACGACTGACTCTGATGAATCTCTGTGTTAATCTCAAAGGAAGCTATGAAAAAACATCCATAATTCCTTTATCCTTGTTCCCACCCTTTATAACCAATAAATTACAATCCCTACCTCAGTATAAATCCCCCAATCTAATTATATTATACTTAAACTGTTACCAGTAGTATTCAATAATTGATGTAATCTGGACTACAATTTGGCAATATTTTGGCATGTCCTTGGTGAATGAAAAAATTTATCCCACCTCTTTATGCACTCAACTTTGGCAACTTTGGTTGAGAAATTTGGCATTTGACTACAATTATAATCAGCTTGGCGAAATCTTTTTTTTTTGTCTTTTTATTAAATACTGTCCACTCATGCTTGGAAATTTTTATAAAATTATTGAAATGGTGAAGCGAACAATTCTTAATATTTACTACATTTCTTATCGTTTATTCTAATTTTCTTTTTAGTGTTTATTAATTTATTTTTTGGTATCGTATAATTTATCTGAAGCTTCTCTCTTTTTTTCTAATTTTATTAATGCCCTATAGTTGTATGTGTGTGTGTGTGTGTACGGATGTGTATGATTTGATTCAATAGTTTTAGGTGAGTGAATACGTGCCATTTCTTTTCGGCAATACCCACCATCTTATATTCTGTACGTTTTAAACCTTATCCAAGGTTTTGTTTACTCTCCTAATTTCATAATTAGTTTGTGTTTTTATCAACCGTTTCATCGCATTTATGCTGATCATGGAGTCGAAATAAATTAACTTAACTAACCTGACATATGGGAACACCTCTATATAGCACATATGAAATTTTAAATGACACATGGGAAAACTTATATAGCACATGTGAACATTTTCCTATGACACGTGGGAACACTAATATGACACACGGGAACAATGTTTACTTTCATGACATATGGAAACACTTACATGACGCTTTATATAACACATGAGAACAGTATTTTATGACACACGGAAACACTTATATGACACTTTATATAGCACATGGAAACACTTATATGACACTTTATATAACACATGGGAACACTTTACTATGACACACAGGGACACTTTTATATGCCATCTGTGAATACTTGTATATCAAACATGGGAACACATTCATGTGAATATCTGAGCATTTATTTCCCCCTTTTTTTTATTATTTGCTACTATCCTGTTATTGCCCCACCACTAATTTAATTCGTTTCTTATCTTAAGTTAAAATGGGATGGGTTTGCTGAGTTATTGTCCCATCATTATTCTGGCCAGTCATGCACCATTAATGCATAGCAATATCAGAGCGCTGCTGTTTTTCAAGCAAAAGCTATCGACACGCCACATGCAGAGTCTGAAGTTTTCCCTACCATTAATTAAAATGTACCATAAGTCGGATCACATTATTCATTGTACACACTTAGCACACATAAATATAGTTTACAGAATAAATATAGACTAAACAGCCAGTTTTGTTTGTATAGCATTTCTGGAATAAGCCAAAAAAAATGTCATACAATAATTCTATGTTCCATAAATGTCTAAAATTATTAATTAGATTTGAATTATCAATTGATTAATTATCAATTTCGATCAATTAGACATTCATTCCCTGGCTTCTAAATTATTCTGAATCCTAATACCTTCCGGCAATACCGTAGTCCGAAGCTATTTAATATCTAGATTTGTAGTCCACACCAGCTAATATCTGTATAAAACTTGTCTGGCAGAATATTCTAAGTCTATTTTAAGTGTAATAATTCTGCAAGTTTATTTAAATTTAATTTTTCAAATCAAGGTTTGGTATTATATTTAATGAGATCCCAAATATTCTCAGTCTGTTTTCAATGCAATGTTAACAAACGAAAATTTCTATTTCAATGTATTTACTCGTTTAGTGCCATCATCATTTTTCCACAGTGCTTCAAATCATATGCATCAAGAGATAAATTCATTTCTTCAGTTTCAGGTGATTAGAAAGTTCTAATTAAAATTCTGCAGGAAAGTTACAATGCATAGATTGTCTTTTCTCTTTTTCTGGACTAAAATTACATAACTGTAACTTATTTTCAATCAGGACACTGATTTCGCCAAAGCATGATAAAAATTAATCATATTCTTGCACATTTGCATGATTATATGCAAAATAATGGGGAAATGATCATTAGGAATAAATTTGCTCATTTTGGAAAAAATTTACTGAAACTTCGCGCAGTGATTACTTTTTCTCAAAAACAAAACAAAATCTAACAATTCGGTTTTCAATAATTGAAAAGAACTAAAATTTGCTTTCACTGTGAACATAAAAAGGTTATAGTCCCTGGTCATATTAACATGAGAGTATAATTTCCACATTTGATTTTCTCCATAATTTCCGAAAGATATATAAGTTAAGGTGCTACCTTTATTATCGTGGTCTCAACGACAGAGGTAAACTATGCTCAACTAAACAATATGACAACAACCAGCCTAATGTATCGCTATAAACAGAAAGCAAACAGACAATCTAATTGAAATATTGCCTGAAGGCTTTTACTTATACTTTCACTTGAAGAACATTCAAAAAAAAAGTTAAATTCATCATGCTGTGACGTTGACGTGGTGACAATAAATTCCACACAATAGCGCCTAAGAAATTGTTCCATATTTTGTGCTAGACCAGTCATGGGCAAAGTATGGCCCGCGGGCCAAAACCGGTAATTCAATCTTGTCTGCCTGATGCTATAACAACCAAACTGAGACCAAATTTTGATATTTTATCTAAAAATATCTCAAATAATTTGTTGAGATGGCGGTTAAATTTAGTTCGGCACGAGGTTCATTGCTTTCCACTATTGCTTCTGTAACACTGTAAACATTGTTCATAAAATATAAACCTGTACATCATACTTACATGACCCGCCAGTCTGGATTGGCACATTTCTTGGTCTCTGATCTAAAAACCGTGCCCGCCCCCGTGCTAGACTCTCCGTTGTTCTCATTTATTTTGGCGAATGAAATTAATGATCAACAACTAAGTGTAAACAAAGGATTTCTGCAAATGTCATTCACTAATGTTTACCTTTTTGGTACTAGGCCGCGAGACGATGCCGTTTATCCTGCAGTTTCGTAGCGCATATACGGGCACTACTCGGACATAATTTTAAAATGTTCCATAGAAATTTAGTAATAAATGATAACTTATTCCAATTTCCAGAGGTTGCATGTTTTACGAAAAAAACGCTTTTACTACAAGAAATATGAGTTGAGTTGGGTAGACTTTCCATCGTCTTTTTCAGTTCTTATTAGTTAAGTCATGCTAAGACGTGGTAAAACGTATAAGTAAGCTATTAAACACTTGTAGATTCTTACCATGGATAGCAATTTTAGTTGAGCACTAGCTCATTAAACGTTGTTTAAATAGGTACGGTAACTTCAAAGAACTGGACCTAGTAGATATGCCCCAAACAACGACACGGTATTTTCATGTTGTATGGAAAATTGATTATTAATTTAATTCTTGAGTATTCAGCAGACTTATAATGCTATATAGAGGACTTGCATGGGTCACGTGACTTCGTTTACTGGGCGGCAAAAAATAAAAACGTCCAGCTGGCTCCTGTCAGTTGCAAGTCAGATTATACGTTTCCGTTTTGTTTGGCTGTTGAAAATGGTTATTTCGTATTGTTCCGTTGGCTGTACGTATAGTATAGACACAAAATGGATCTTCAGTTATATTCCACTGTTTCAAAAAGATCCGGAACGTCGCGCAATATGGATATCATCTGTTAACAGGACTGCTTGGTGTCAAGTCCAGAAGTCATCTCGCTTGTGTTTCACTGTTCGTTGATGGTGAGTGATAATGTGCCGTTATCAATTTTTTTAAATATTAATAGGCTCCCTCATTTCAATGGAAAGCAGATGACAAACTACTGTTATTGGTAGGCCTAATTGCAGACTTGACTTGTGTAAGGAATTAATCATCAATTGCTATAAGGTATTATTTACCTAGTTAGCAGGTAATCTATTACTAAGTGTGAAAAGTTGAATAGATAACTAAAGTTTACCGCCAGTGTTCCGCATCTCTGATCACCCTGGTAGTTTCACAGCTTTCAATCCCATGCGGGGGTAATTATGTGCGAGGGGATTGCAGCCCTCCTCCCACTGAGGGTGGATCACACGACCGCTTGTCGGTTACGACATCCCCCATCATCAAGTCCATGCTTCTGAAAACAAATACCTGGCTAACTAATCCCGACATAGAATGGTAATCGTACGATGTTGCACTTGCAATCGTTCCCCCTGCTCCAATACGAAATAACCATTTTAAACAGCCGAACAAAACGGAAACGTAAAATGGGACTTGTAATTGACAGGAGCCAGCTGGACGTTTTTTTTCGCCGTCCAGTAAATAAAGTCATGTGACCAGTGCAAGTCCTCTAAAGATACAGCACATTTACTTCAGTGATGAATGACCTTTTGTGTAATGCACGTTTGTGACAAACCAATTTGACTGATGTCAGTTAGTCTGAATCAGGGTCGTCCAACTCGTGGCCCACGGGCCATATATGGCCCGCAAAAGCATTTCGAGTGGCCCGCGCTGTATTTTTCAGAATCGAATGAAAAAAATTGAAGTAGGACTATTTTTCGAGTGATGTAGTATACAAAGATATGATACAAACGATTCGTTTATTTCCTAAATATCAATGATTGGGAAACAACAGTTTTATTGGTATAATAATTGTAAAAGTTTGGTGTGCGGGTATTGCTTGTTTTTTCATTAACCTGTAGTCAGTGTATCAGAACTAGAACATAATGCCATGTTAAGTGGCCCGCGTAATTATTAGTAAATTACATGTAGCCCTTCGGCCAAAATACGTTGCACGACCCTGGTCTAAATTTATAAATTTGACAAGAACCTGGGCAGCAATGATACGTTATGCAAGAGTTGAAAGGAATGAGAAGTGAGAAATAATGTATCAAGTTGTTGGGTGACAGTTGAGGTTATAAAATATACCGGGCATTTCAGACTGTTTGATTTATTGAGATTTAGTGTAGAAACAGTGCAGGACTGTAGTAACATCAGATAAAATGCATTATGTATGAGAAGTATTAGTCAGTATTTAGTGAAATTCTTATTTCTCGAAAAACACTCATTTTATTCCAAATATGAATTTATTCCGCATTTTAGATACTGTACTACAAATGAATACGACAATGTTCCACCAATCCAACCTAACGCAGGCTATTATGGCTAATGCTATCGGCACTATGCCCGTAAAAATAGAATGGATCGAAGAAGAAGTCCTAAAAAAAAGCGCAACGGTATATGAATATCATAACAGCTGCAAAAAGCTTAGATGAGTTATTTATATATACCGAAATACTTTGACATTCTTCTGCACTTGAAACTGCTCATCAAACTGATGTTGGAGGACTCGAAATTCATGAGTTTTTTCTAAACTTTGAAGATCTTTTGAGGTTAACGAAGCATTAATGAATCAATCTGAAGAATTTGGTTGTTCATTGTATGGAGAGAATATGAAAAATGTAAATGATACCAGGGCACGGTGTTTTCAAAACTGACAAACATATGGATTATTCACTAAAGAAGCATGTTCTGAGGGCAAATTACCAAGCGGGAATTCATAACTGTATCCTAGAACCGTGGATGGGTTCTTGATGATGATGTTTTGCGGGTCAAATGAATGAATCTATTTCCAGCCCCCTAATCAGTCTTTGAGTTGGCAAACTGCAAGTGTAAGTAAAATAGGTGTCAAAATAATTTATGCACGTGTGCCAAAATCAACATAATTGCACAGAATTTTGTTTTGTTTGTATCGACTACAAAAACTATAGTACCCTTGTAGAGGAAAAGTTGATTTTTGAGAATTAGGATTTCGGAAGCAATTCAGAGGAAAGTGCATTAGATATTGTATAGTTAACTTAATAAATATTATTTATGAGTATTTTCTCAGCAATTTGTTAGTGTTAGTGAATGTCCTGTTTCTATAGATACTATTGCATTTGTTTTAAATACACAACCACGTCAACTTAAGAAAGACGGATTGGAATATTTCTGTTCACAAAAAAACTCCCCGAAATAAAACAATCATTTTTACTTTAACATTTATTTTACTAAAAATTGCTTCAAAATTGCACGAAGAAACGAGCTTTAACGAAACGAAAGTCTTCAAGTCCAATTTTGATGATGCGTTATCAATACACACATTGCATTAAATCCAGTTTCACAAAACTAGGTTGTTTGCGATGGAATAGACTATTAAATGACAATTGGAAACACTCCGAAGCCATACCGCCAAGAGTCATCAGTCCAAGTTCTTTTCTTGGATGACATATTTCTCCTCGGAACTACAGAAAGTTTTTTAAAAAAAAAAAAAAAAAAAAAAACACTCTGAAATTGCTTTGCAATCTTAGATATTATTACACCGTGGCAGGTTGGGCCGGGCATTTTTAATTACCCGATGATTTCAGAATCGAATCAAATATTTTTTCGAATGGGAAATATGCAATTTGTATGGGACTTTTTCATCGTAATTGGTCCTGTCAAAGACCAATTTCGGAGCGTGCACATATAATAACGAAACGCTTATTTATGACTACAGAAAATAGTCATATGTCAGAATTGCACGGAAAAATATGGCTACAATAAAAAAAAAATTGGGTAATTCACCTCCAACATTGGCATAAAATAAAAACACAAGATGGCGGCAATTCGAAATTTTAATCTGAACCAATTCGAATAATTTACTCTTCGAATAATCGATTCGAAGCGCTTAACCCTACTCGTTGGCAAAAAGGTGTTTTTTCGTTATAAAAGTTGTGTCGGTGGGAAGAGAAAAACGACGAAAGACAACATTAGTGATACAAAATTTGTGATGATGCATCGAAAACAATAGTGGCTCAGGTCATACACATCACAAATTTCACCCTGCTGTCTGATGGGTATAAAAGCTTTTGCCTATTGTTTCACAGAAACAGATATACGATATGTAAAAGAGAATGAGCGCTATATTAAGGTCGTCGACGGGTGAGGATATTTTTACTCAAAGTTCCGCCATAAAAATATTCTGTTCCAGAAATTCCATCTTTCAGTAAAATTCAAAGGTGACCTAATTTTTTTATTCATTTATGTGTATTCATTATATTCAACTTGTTCGTAAAATTGAGCTAGGTTTTATTAGTAGGTTATAAATTCTATGTCGTTTACGCAAATATTCAGGTTCAAAACCCTGAGTAATACCAACCTTGGATACTTGGAAGTCAGAAAGCATCTAAAAATTAGGTCATACGGAGGTACTCAACGGTGGTCATCTCGGCCTGACGGTGGCCATTGACAGGTCTTCTAAAACATTTATCTGAGCAATACTACACATAAAAAAGTTGTTCTATGAATGGTCTGAAATTTGGATATCTGCCTTAATTGTTGTTATTTTTCATATTTAATAGGCTCGAAAATAGATATACCTCATAACACACAACAAATTTACAGGACCGTCGTTGAACCCCTGTTACAGCTCCACCGAAACCCAGGTGTTTGATTGAACCCAGGTTAAGAAACACTGACTTAGTGCGATCATGACGGCCAATTGAAACGTGTTGCGCACCATGATGGCCAATAAATAGCACATTTCGCAGTGTTTAGTAATCGATCGTTTGTTGACCATACTGGAAATACACATTTCACATGTACAGTGCAGAAAAGATAATTCAAAACCAAAAGAGTCTGTACTGGTTATCGAGAAACGACACCTAATACAACCACTAGAACCTACACTCCTTCATAAAAAAAAAAACCCTAATAAAAAATGTTATAACTTTTTTTTCAAACGTGCGGAAGACTTCACTGATATTTTTTTGGAAAGAATATCTATGCCGCTTCATACAAGCCGTTTCTCAATACACTAGTACAAATGTAACGACCCCGTTGCGTTAACACGATAGATGTTAATAAAAGTTTAAAAGAGTTTTGTATTTCAAATCGGAGCTATGTACAAAGCCAGATGGACTTAACATCAAATATCACAGAAGTAGACATTTACGTCATCTTCAAAACGCGATAAGAATGGATATCTGGAACGAAACGCAGCGCGAAATATTAAAAAAACAAAGAGAGAATGTTTTCGATAGCGATCGCAATTATGTTTGTTTATTATTGTGCGGGTGATGATTACAAGCGTGTTTACGGACCGAAACGGATGGCTCGGTCTCTCAAATTACTTTTTTTTCAAGTAATAACATATTTCTCTGTATATTTCCTAAACTCGTAAAATTGAAAATATGTCAAAAAGGAGTGACGCGCAACCGGGAACACAAACACTTAAACAAACCTATATCATCCTTGAAAACGGCGCGAAAATGTCTCATTGCTTTTGTTTTGAGTTAGGTCCAGGATAAGACGCATACATAAGGAATGTTAACTCTTACTGACCAATCATATTATATCCATATTTATAATACAAATTGTGTCACCCAGCAACTATAGGGTTTGTGTTCTGGCCATTATCAACAAAGAGTCGCATCATAACTTAGGCGTAGTTAATACTGCAGATATGAAAATCTCATAAAAATAATATCGGCAATAAAGTCTAAATCTGACAAGTAATATTGCTGGAACACACGATATAATGCATGATTAAATTTTTATAATTTCCATCTTACATACTATGGAGGATTACATATTGCGTAAAACTAATGAAGGAAACATTGGGATAATGAAATATCTATTTTACAAAGTAATTATCAGGCAAATGCAATGAATTTTTTACGGACCATAAGGGGCACCGTGTTATTAGGGAAGATGTCAATGAATTGCTTAGAGTAGGTTTTTATTCATACATGACTTGCATCGGGCTATGCGACGCAACAGTTTTTAAAGTAATACCGGCACTGGTCTTGAGTGTAGGCAAAAAACATAAAGCACTACCTGATACGTACATTGACCGCACGATCGATTTTAGAAGGGAAAAGAATTTAAATTGTGCCTCATGGTCCATAAAAGACGGTTCATTCTTAAAATAAACAATGATATACAAGTTAATCTCGAGTTCTAATATTTACTTGAGTAGATTAGCTCATTTGAAAAGTTTTGAATATTCCTTAAACAAATTATATTTACAATTGCAATTCATACTAAAAGAGCAAAAATTATTGATCAATTGAAAACTCAAGCATGTAGTATGAGTAAGTAAATCAGTAATAATTCTCAAACATTGAAGCGATTGTCAATCATAGCAGTGTAAAAAAGGGTTGAGGTTGAAAGCAGTGGCGTGAATTATTTAGTCACTAGGAACATTCAATGCGATGGAAGCCCGTGTCTGAATGTCTTTCCCGTCCATTGTTTCAACAACTTTCCAAGAGTCTACAGCGGGATCATATTCTTCTATTGTATTCTTGGAATTATTCCTGCAACTGAATAACAACACAATCAGAGTATTAAATAGTAAATTCATGAATTTATATATATAATATACATTATTAATTTCTATCAATTTCTATTGAAATGAACAATGCACAGATGATGACTAATTAGCGATAGGACACACATTGAGTTGGATTTCTGTTTCACCTAGTGATATCTACGCATGGGATCAATCAATCTGGGTTGCAAATAATCATGCTATACTCGTAGAATCGAATTTTCGAGCCATAGCAGTTTTGTACGATCGTAGTTTGAATTACCAATACACAGGAAAGGTTGTTTGCACTTTTTGCCTAAGCAACATGATAATATATTGGACATAGATACGAGATATCTTAGTTTATAAATCAACTTTCAACTCACCCTCCAAGAGTAAATATATTTCCTCCGACAACACAAGCTTTGAAACTGTATCTTGAATTGCTTAATCTGGCAACAGTGGTCCATATTTCAGCAACTGTGTCAAAACATTCCACAACGTTTAACCAGCCATTGTTGTATCCACCTTGTAAAATATTAGGAGCGATGAAATTATCTGATAGTTTTATTAGGGCGAGTTGAAACATACTGGCTCGACACAACTCAACTAGTGAGCTTATCCGATATAACTTGAAATATTGTGTACAATTTTTTTTGACTGCCAAACCAGAACGAATCTGGAACTACGAGTAACTCATATCACGTGAGAATATTTCAAAATTGTTGCGAGTAATTTGCAGTTTTTTGATATTCGAAGTGAGTTTGAAAAAGAAATGTTAAATTTATCAAGTACTTTAGGTGAATGTGTGTAATATTAACCCGATGTTAACAACATTAAGACAGAGATCTTAGGAACTTTTATTTTTGGTAAGTAAATCGTTCGCTTATGCTATATTATTTTGAAGTGCAAAGTTGACACCCGAATTGCAGTGCATGCGCAACACAAAATATATCGAAGTGTAAATTCTCACCCATGACATAAATCTTTCCATAAAGTTCAACTGCTGCTGCACCATTTCTTGCAGTCGGCATTGAAGTAAGTGTCGTCCATGTTGAATCTGATGGATTAAATTTTATAGCATTCGACATATGCTCACCATTATACCCTCCAATACAGTAAATGAAGCCTGAATAGGAAGAAATAACTTAGTTTAAAATGAAAAATTTTGTAATCTTACTTTAAATCATATGACTACACAAACAGTATATGTTTTGCGGTATAACTTCATCCTTTATCAAACTTACCTCCTGCATCAACTATTGACGTACAATATCCTTCCACATGTTTACAAGTGACTTGAGACCAAGTTCCATCAGATGGATCAAATTTCTCGACTGTTTTGCTAGTTTTGCCAGAATCATCAAAAGCATAGATTGAACCTAGTTGATGAAAAATAAATGAATTGATTCACATGTAAAGATGAAGAAATAGGTAATCACAGAATCGGCATCTGGAGTGTCATAACATGCCTGTAAAAGCAGTTCACTAGTAGCTTCGAGTCTTTTCGTTGCTTCTAGAAAGTTATAAGCCACCTTGAATCACCGATAATACGACCACCTACTTGGTTTACACACATCTAAGTTAACAGAATATTTAGCACTAAAAATCCTCGCATAAGACAACGGACTTTATTTGGCTAATTCGGCTGGGTATATCTAGCGTCACATGGTTCAAATAAACTGAACTAATAAAAGAACAGAAATCCTTATTTTTGATATTTATGACTGCAGTTGATCAATACTACAGAGCAAATATGATTCAGAATAACTTATATTGAAGTCATGGTGACATTTCATTTACAATAGCAACCATAAGAATTATGAATATTACACTCTCAATAGGAATTCCATATTTATAAACTTGCTCATGTTATACTAACCTTCAAATACAACAGCATCTACACGGTTCTTTGCCGTCCCCCGATCTGTCAGTCTAACCCATGTAGCATTATTATCGGTATAATTCAATTGATAATTGGTTCCATCAAACACAATAACATAGATGATGTTACCAAGAACAATTGCTGTGAAGTGTTTGTCAACAAATTTATCACTGATGCCCTGGTGATAAAAATTGCAAATAAAAATATAAGATAAAACCATGGCTTCGCATAACATTTTTATTTTGGTTCAACCAACTTGGATTGGAAATTAATGACTGTGTACACAACATGGCAATTCATTGGGATTCAGAGTGGCAACAAAAGTCCATGAGGGATTCCAAAAAATTCTACAGAATAGCTTGCATGCAATAAAGTTTCAGTGGTAAAAATTTTGACAATTTAAGAGTAGTGACTTGAAGCCGATTATTTTTCACCACATGTCATGGAGTTATTTCATACTACATACATGCACCAAAGTCCAAACATTCAGAAGAGGATTCATGCAATACTTATATTTGTTTAGAACTGTCTTTCAAATTTTTTTCAAATGTACAAATGTCAAGCTACAAAAAATATTTTAATTTGTAAAATTTGAATAATACAACAATTAATAATAAACCAATAACATTGTCAAACCTGCAGTTTTGTCCAAGTTTTTATCTTTGGATTAAATGCTTGAATTGCTTTTGTGAATTTTTGTCAAAAACAGCAATTACTGAAAATAAAGAGGAAGTCTTGAGCATAAATAGATAAAATAGTGGAAATTGATCTAGTTGATTGTTTTTAAAAACAAATGGTATAAACATTATTGAGCCAATCATAAGCCCTTGAAACTAGACTCTAATCCTAATGAATTGAAGTTGGATCATATTATTTAAAACCAAGAATGTCAAAAACAAGTCGAATAAATTTAAAAGTAGCAATTACTATATTATCGCTTTAAGCAATTGGATTATTAATTTTAATTTCCATGCTTTTTTGATTTTTATTCCATTGAATATACATTAATGTAATATATATATGTAGTTGAACAATTTGACCCAATTTAGAATAACTGCTATTTCTGATTATGAATAAAACTATAAATTATGTTATGAGCTAAACGGAGTTGATACTATTATTTAGATTTTTACATATAAATATACTTACCGGTAGTCCGCTTGACATCTGAAAAAAATGTCAAATTTCAGGAATTTTGAAAAGAATATGAACAAATGTATGGTGCTATATAATACATGTGTAACGAACGAGAAAGGGTAAAGTTATGAAAATTTTTAAAATTGAACAATACTCTCAAATAATCTCATTATCAAAACTAACCAATGGACATACCTTTGATGTCAATATCTTCAGCCACAACGTGTGATTCACCAGTGAAAATCTTCAAAAGTGCTTTGAGGCAACGTGCAGAATCAAAGACCAACGGCTGAATAAAATAAGATCAATTGTCTGAGTACATAATATGAACTTAAACCACTGCGTTGGATGGTCTTTCACACATTATTACTGTAAAAGCAGGCATCGGAGGGAACATGCATTAAGATTGAATTAAAAGTTGTGATTTGGTAACTTTATTTGGAAATTTAAACTCTTACGCTTTTCATAATATATTTTTTACAGTAGCCAATGCCATTGAAGCAGATATTATCAAGCCACAAAGAAAAATGGAATAAATAATCATGGAAATTTACTGAAAATAAGCAGCTACCAAATCGAATAACCATGATGCAAGATTTATAATCCAACTTTAGCAAGTACTCCCTTTGCCCATTGCCAAAATGAACCGGCTTTTAGAGCTAGATTATCAATCGAACTATCCAAGACCATATGATTAATTTCAGGGGGTTGTCATGCTGTCACTTTTTATAGATCAGCAGTTTCAAAATAAATGTTCTAATTATCTAGAAATATTGCAAGTTCAGCAAAGCCCAGTGACCATCTACTTGATTATCAAACTATCATGTCAATAAACCTATTTTCTGACCTCTTTCTCCACCAGAAACTTTTGATATTTTCTTGATATTTTTGTTAAATCCAGATTTTCAAATAATTCTCCAAATGTTGATGCCCTGGTCTCTGAATCGAAGTTAGTCCAGATAATCAAGGCTTTGCACTTGACAGCTTCAGAGGCCTACAATCGGAAAGAAATCAAACTTTAAGAACATCTGGAAAACTTTCATTGCTTTAATTGTTATCCTGGGGTATTTATAATGAATAATATTATTAACTGTATCTAAAATGTTTAACAAGCTACATCAGATTAATGTTGAAATAGGCATTAAAAAATACAGGCCATAACGATGAGCAATTCCGAAAAATACTCATTCATCACTTCTTACATTGACCTCTTTTGATCCCACCAGAGCGGAAACATAATCTTTGTCCAAATGTTTGGAATAATCTTCAGCAGCTATTGCTTGAAAATTCTCCAGAGCATATTTATTGCAACTTTCAACTAAACCAGTGCAGTTGAAAGTGTTTGCGATCATTTTTGTAGAATAGAACGATTCTGGACTCAGTTCTTCCTCGAGAGATACAGCAATTTTGTCACACATACCTGTAAAACAAATTCCATGTATAAAATGCACACACTCCCATAATTCAAACTATGGAAAAAAGGCCAGGTTTGTTGTAGTTCGTCACTCCTATAAATATCTCATAATTCGAATTGCAAATGAAAATTTTGCATAGGTTTCACACAGCACAATTATGTATATTTTAAACAGCCAATATACTGTTTTTGGTCATCACAGCAAATGCCCTACCCTTGACAAAGCTAAATCTATGTCAAGGTATTGTCCAAGCATGATTGGGCGTTCAATTCGGTACGAAATGTCAATTTAACATAATTGCTATAATACACCCACCTTGTAACTGGAGCATATGAGCAGTAAACATCAATTGTTCACGGACCACCGAAAATGGACCACCATTTTCTTTGTTCGACAAAATTGCTCCTTATTTGAGAGGCTGACGTCTCGCTGCTTCGAATAATAGTTATGCATCCAAACTTATACATGAGACTTACTTGTGTATTTGCAAAAGCCATTTATTTTTTAGTCTGAACCTTTGCTGCTTCAAATAATTATTTATTTACCCACATTTATATTTTGAGAACTATTTGTGTATATCTGCAAAAATTGTCTTTTATTTGTGAGGGTGAAACCGTACTGATTCAAATATTTGTTTAGTTATCACATTTTTATTTTGAGGACTATTTGTGTATCAGTAAAAACTGCCTTTTATTTGTGGGGATGAAACCGTACTGATTCAAACAATAGTTTATTTATTTATATTAAAATATTTTGAGGAATATTTGTGTATTTGCAAAATCTTCTGTTTATTTGAGAGGGTGACCCTCCTGCTTCAAATAATATTTATTAATCCAAATTCCCATTCATATACGAGAACTATTAGTATATTTGCATACACTGCCTTATATTTGACTTATCTGACTTATTGCTGCTTCAAATAATAGTTTATGAATTGGTATTTATATATGGGTTTCAGTCATTCATCTGCCAAAATTCTTTGCTATAGTAAGGCTGTTTCCTCGCTTCAAATAATAGTTTCCAAATTTGAGTATTAGTATTTCAATTGCCATATTGTTTTTTATTTGTGGGGCGTAGTCCTCGCTTTTAAATAATAGTTTGTGTATCCAAGTTTGAAAACAAGTATTACGGTAGTTGATAATTTGCCCATACTGTTTCCCTTCTCAAAGACAAATCCTATTTGTTAAAAATTGACTTTACTAAAATAATTTTTTTTTGTAATCGTATTAATTTGTACATGCAACTCAACCCATCTCTCATTCTCACATTTTGTTTTCAATCATTCCAATTGTCATTGGCTATGAAATTTGGTGTCCAATGGCAGCATGCAGGCAATCTAAATATTTGATAACGGCTTCGAACCTTAGGTTTCACCTAACATCACATATCAGAATGATAAATATGTATGTATCCGCAATCTTTTGACCTGACCTCTCCATAAATTATTCTTCCTATCCAAAATGATTATTCAAATAAAATATAGTAATGAGTTTGTTGGTCGCATCATATGGCATTTTATAACTTATTCTATATTAGGGCCATTCCGAGCAAAAGTTGAATTCCATCAAATTTTTGAAAAAATGTGTAGTGAAAGTAATTTTTTTTATTTTTGATATCAAAAGACATTGGAATTTTATTGGACTGCATTCATTTCATCGAACAATTCAAAATTTCACCCAGGTTTTTGATGGTTTATAAAAAATGGCCTGAAATGTAGCAATATTTTGTGATGATTCCTGACACAAAGTGTTTGATTGTGTGGTACAGTTATTTCATATGGAATTGACGCACTGGATTTAAGTTAATATAGTTTAAATGTTTGCAGTGCTGTAGGACATTTCTTCACCCATTTAATGATTTATTACCAGAATTTTAAGAGATGATAGAGGCCGCTATTCCGAAGTGGAAAAATGTCCTGTAGTGTCACGTCCTGTAGTGTCACATACAATATGCACATTATTGGCATGGATTTTCAGTGTTACATTAAGTAACTTGAGCAACACATAGAGGGGTAGTTCAGCTCCACCAGAAAATATTATGGGCTCCTACTGTACCATCGCAAAAATTTACAGCACAACACAACGTACTGTTAGTGCATGGTGGATTTGCCATTCTGTAGTGTCACGCTATATTTTACTATATTTTTTTTATCTACTAGGTAAGGTTGGATGTAACTTTTGTGCAATTTTTTACAAATTCAATGAAGCAACTGATTGGACAATGAAACAAAACATGTAGCTGAAAATGTGAAAATATATTGAATTTAACAACATGCAAAATTTCTGGAATTGTCCTGTAGTGTCACTTTGAATAGCCCATTACTGTTTGTATATCCAAGAAGTGCCTTTGTATATTTACATGTTCTCATCCTGAAATATTGCTTGGCCATTTCCCCCCCTTGATTGTTGTTTGTTTTTCCAAATTTTGTTTCTAAAAGTCATATTTTACTGTGAACTTATCAGCGCGAACTTGGAGGCAGCTGACTTCGATGTCTGCATGGTCACATTGCTTCCTCCAGTCTATACTGAGAAAAGTGTTTTTTGTAGCCTTATTTTTTTATGACTGATATTTTTTTCTAGTTCTGACATAATAGATCTCTCTCTCTCTCTCTCTATTGATTTATTGTCCCACCTTTCTATGCTTTTCTTATGTTGTTAAAGACTTTTGCTAACCTAACTTAGCTCTATTTAACCTAAACAGAATAAAGAGAATCAAAGAAAATTAGTGGTGGGACAATAACAGCACAGTAATAATATACAATTTATTTTAATTTCAATAAATAGAAAGGATATAAGGATATAATCGAATCGAATACCTAAGGATATAATCGAATAATTCATGGGTCATATTTTGTTCTGGTTTCTATGATAAGGGTCTTTTTGATTTAGTGATCCTGCTCTCTGAATTAATATTGATTTATTTATATTAATTGTTATTTGGTTCTTAAACTAGTGTCTCTATATTTTATATTCTAATTGTGTTGTCTGGTATTTTCAACTTTTTGCATTTCTTAGTTCACAACATAGAATTGAATGATGTATTTACCTGTCAATTTTCCATTTCTCTGTTTACATGAATTGGATTGTATTTTCATCCAATACCAATTCCTTCCTCCAATTTTCCAAGACTCCAGTTCTGGAAACCATACCACAGTGCCAATACTTTCTTGAACTTGCTCCCATATTTAAGATAATTGTAACCATCAAGATGTGCTTATATTTCAAAATATATTTCTTAATAACTAACTGCCTTAATTACGTATCCCGGCGTACATGGCCACTATCATACCGCGCGGCCTCAAAAGCAATATTCTTGTAGGGTTCCACGACGCTGACTGTGGTCAGACTGCTGTTATATTACTATACTGTTGCCCATGGTTACCCTGGTTGTGCCTGGAGTCTCTTTTTTTGTTACGGTTTTGGATTTTCTTGGACATTCTTCCCTTCACTGCTTAAATGTGTTCGATTTATTCTATTCTACTTGTATCAAAGTTAGACATTTATCACAGGTGTCGCTGCTAGATAACCAACATTGGTTTTTTCGCGTCACCCTTCACCATGAAATGCCTTTATTTATGTTTTCTCTAATTTTTGTTCGCATTACGTGTATGTTTCATTTTGGTGAAAAATAAACGACTGACTGAATAAATAGAAATTGCTAAATGATACTGAAATAATACTAAATATATAATACCAATAATATGATGATAAAAATAAATAATAAAATGATAAAATAAATAATACTAATGATACTAAACCGAGAATACCTGACAGTTTTACCAGTGATACATACTATCACAAAGAAGTCAATATTGTAATACGTTAAATGCATCTCAGAACCCATAAATAATGCTATGCAAAATAGCAATGGTATTGAAATAAGATTATTCTGACCAGTTACGCTTCAGTGATAATCTTGTGGATAAAAAAAAAATGAAGAATACTACACAGACCTAAAAAGTACTGGCTTGCAACAGTTCTCAACAGATCCCAATATAGCATTCTATTTAAATTATGACATACAAACTCTAAATCTGGTTTACAGAATAATCATAGACTAATCAGAGGGTAATAATTCTGCCAGTTTATTTTTCGTATTGCTCCTCTGGATAGGACCAGACTATTTTCAATGCAGGATGAAAATACTGTAGGAGGGCGCCAGACTACATTTCATAAAGTTCTAAAATTACTTGATCAAATTTAAAGCAATTATAAAAAGCAGTGAATTCGGGTCTCGTGTAGTTTCGTACCTAACGTACTTCTAGTAGGCGTAGCATAACAATCTTTTTGACATGCCAATCCTATCTCTCATCTGACTACGCCATCCAAAAATTACGTCACTACGACGTCACAATCACGTCATAGAGCTTGCCAAATACTCGTATGATCGCCGACGACGTCGACGATAAAGAACTGACTAACGTCAGCGATCTCTCTCATATCGGGATCGTTAAGACTAGAAAACGAGAGAAATGGCTGTTCGATTTTGTGTTCTTGTCTGCGCGTCTTGGATGACAGTTCGCATAGTTTGATGGTGTGGTCAGGTGGGGGTTAGGATTGACACGTGAAAAAATTGTTATGCTACGCCTAGTAGAAGGTACGAAAGTACATGAGACCCGTAAATTCAACCTAAATTTTATGTACTAAATTGTTAAATACACAGTGATTTACAAAAATATATGTTATTTTCGAATTATAGTAATAAGAATAGATAGATACTTCTGAAATAACTGACTATAATACTAATTTCCTAAATATAAATATTTAATCAATACATTAATTATTAAGACTGTTAAATTTAATTTACTTAATTACACCACCCAGAAGGTATATTATGTCTTATTATGATTCAGTGCCATGATCTGGCATTATTGGACATTCATCATTTGGTTTTCAAATTATTCTGAATCCTAATAGTTTCCACCAATACCATAGCTATATAATATCTAGGTTTATAGTCCACACTAACTTTTATTTGTATAAACCTGCTTGGCAGAATATTCTTTGTGTATTTTAAGTGTAATAATTCTGTCCGCTTAGACGCATTTTTTGAAGCTCTTGCAAAATAAACAAGAAGATTCTAATGCCCATCAGGATTTGATATTATATTTCATAGGGTTCTGAATATGCTCAGTCAAATTTCAACACAATAGTAACAAAGCAGTAAATTTTACATGAATTTCTATGTACTTACTTGTTTAGTGCCATCATCATTTTTCCACAGTGCTTCAAATCATAAGAATCAAGAGTTAAATTCATTGTTTCAGTTCCAGGTTGGAAAGTTTTAATTAAACTCACTATGTTACAGATCAACCTTAATATCTCGATAAATAATAGTTTCACAGATCTAGTTGGAGGAAAATATCATATCAGAAAGAGTTTTTTTATGCAAACGGAATTTTCAAAAGTTTGCATGGAAGTCACAATGCCTAGACTATTCCGGAATCCGAAATTTTACTGCATCTGCAATCGTACTGTGCACACTGCTAATACAGAACATTGTTATTTTGTACCGTGCGCATATATTTTACTACGAGGTCATGAAAATAGTCCTGCACTGTCCGGCTTTTTCAAATATGGTGACCCTAGGTTAAGCCAAATTTACAGGTACAAATACTATGGCAGTCATTTGGCTAGTCCCGAGTACTCACAATAGAACTAGTATATGGAAAATTGGAATAAAATTATGGCCTAACTCTAACCGACTATGTTGCGGTGTCTGTCATCTTTGTTCACATATTTTGGAAGCGCCAGTGGAACAACTAAAATTTGTTTTCATGGTGGACAATGTTTAATAGTCCCTGTCCATATTAACATGACAGTTTCACTGTAATTTCCACATTCGACATTTTCAACAAACATTCAATATATCGCCTATTAACACACAGCAAACAGATACCATAACTTATATAAAATATTGCGTAAAAGCTTTTACTTTACAATAGCTTTAGGTACCAGTAAGTATGAAATGCTATCCCAGTCAAATTATCATAAAAACTGGTTGGATGACTTAATGTAATGTATATTTAGTCTGACAACTGCAGCTCTTGATTTACAAGTCGATTACGTGGTTCCAGACAAAAGCAGAATCTGATGTATCAATACAGGGGATTCCCCGCCTAGCCAAAACGGTCGTGATTATTCGTGCGTTAAATAAAAACAGCTACCGATGTCTCCCGGTGTCGGGTATTCTATTTACATCAGTGGTTCTCGAACTTTTTTCAGTTCGCATACCAGAGAAATTTCGAAACAAATTTTGCGGACTGGGGGACCTTTAGGGAACCTGCCGACCAGAAAAAATTTCGCTTTCCAACTTTTAAATCCTAGTCACTTGTGCGCGCATGTTTGACAGAAATTAGGCGACCCCGGAAAATCTTCACGCGACCCCGTAAGGGGTTGCGACTCACAGTTTGGGAATCAATGACCTACACCAACCTGGTGAAAACTACGAAAAACTAGTTAGATAAGTGATTTAATGCATCTTTAGTCTGACAACTGCAGCTCTTGATTTACAAGTCGATTATAAGGTTCCAGACGACAACAGAGGAATCAGGTGAAGCAATATAGGGGATTCCCCGTCCAGTCAAAACAGTCGTGATTATTGATGCATGACTTGATACCCGACCAACTTCGCTCACGATGTCGGGTATTCTACATTATATTACTTGTCGAAACGAGGTAACTGGAGAATAAAATTGTTCGTATTTATCACGGGGGAGAGTAAGATGCTCTTCGTTGTTTTATATCATCAGGTGGCCTAACATGTTGGATGGGTAAATTAATTTCAAGTTTTCAAACATCAGAGTGATTGTCAATCATCGTATTTTAAAATGATTCAGGTGGAAAGCTTTGGCGTGGGATATTTAGACCTTGTTTATAAAGAAACATTCAAAGCGATAGAAGCTAATATCTGAATGTCTTTCCCATCCATTGTTTTAACAACTTTCCAGGAGTTAACAGCTGGATCATATTCTTCTATTGTGTTCTTGGAAACATGCCTGCAATAAATAACGACGCAATCAAAGTATTAAATAGAAAACTCAAAATTTAATATAATAGACTTATACATTAGTTGAATTTTACTTATTTTATTACTTTCTATCGAAATGACAGAAGTACAAATGATGGCTAAGTAGCGATAGGATACACTTTGGACATGGAAATCACCCAATTCGGGTTGCGATTAATCATGCTAGAGCTAGACTCAAAGAATCGAATTTTCCGGACATGGCAGATTTGAACTACCGAATGGTTGCTTATTCAGAGTCTGAATTACTAATATACAAAATAAGTTGTTTTCGGTTTTGGACTAAACAACATGTTGATTGAATAATAGATACGTGCAATAAATAGCTTAGTTTATAAATCAAGTTCCAACTCACCCTCCAACAGCAAATATCTTTCCTTCAATAACACATGCTTTAACATATCTCCTTGGATTGTTTAATCTGGCAACAGTGGCCCATTTTTCGGCAACTGTATCGAAGCATTCCACAATATTCGAGTAATCAATGCCGCAGTGTCCGCCTGAAAAATGACAGTAACATAGAAAGATATCCCAAACTATCATTCGAATTATAATTAGAAAATTTATTTTATTTTGTTTCTTGGATTTCAGCCACGTGAGTTTATGTCAATATTGCTTGAAAAAATTATGTAACACTTTTTTGGGTCTGTTAAATAATATCGATCCGAAGACATATGTATCGGTGATGTGTACGTATGGCCAGTAAGATGAAATTTTGCACACATCCGCGTGGCTGATTTATGAAACCTATTCGAAGTTTTTCATCAAAGCAGAATATATTTGAAAATAATTTCTTACCCATGACATAAATCTTCCCATCAAGTTCAACTGCTGCTCACCATTTCTTGCAGTCGGCATTAAAGGAAGTTTCGTCCATGTTGAATCTGACGGATTGAATTTTATTGTATTTGATAGATATTTACCGTTGTAACCTCCAATACAGTAAATGAAGCCTGAATAGAATGATATGAAGATTTTGTGAACTTAGATTTTTAGGTTGGCAATCGTCATGTAACCATAAATTCTTCCACAAAGTTAATGTACAAAGCAGATGGAGAGCTGTTTTATAGAATTAAACTTTTTTTAAGTCGACATTTTCTATTCAACTTAACTTTTCTGCCCACACGTATGCAACTGGAGAACATGCACCAACTGAATTCCTATTTTTTTTCCCTCTTGAATCTTGTTTTGCCTCATAAGCCACCGACAAAGGGAATTTATTCCTAGTAAATTATACCAACTCCTTAGAACCATGTCCAAGTACTCTCTAGTATTGAGATAATTTTCCATTTCAAATACGTATAATTTACCATTTTCGAATGTAGCATCTAATTTCTACAGTTTTTCATTATTAATTATTTTTTACGTCATTCCGAGACAACCAAATTGCTCTAAATTTACAAATAAAATTATTCTGAATTATTCCGAAAATAAAGAATTCAGAATATCAAATACAGTTAATTCTGATTCAATTCCAGTCGTATATGTCTTGGCAATTTCTAATTAAATCAAAAACAGCTCAGATATTATTTTCAAAATTGTATATTGGTATAGATTCTTGTTACATATGCTCTGTCACTAGTACAGCCAATTCTACATTAAGGTGTCTATTCACACCAAGATAGCGAAAATATTGATATATTGAAAATCTGCTGTTTTGATAAAGCACATAGGATGAATAAATCAATGTAAGTTCCATCAATAAAGTTTATCAAAATCAATTAATAAAGAAACATTGGAATGATGAAAAACCATTATATATAGTAATTACTAAGTTAACAAACAATAAATTCTAGATAAAAGAGTCTCAACAATGGAATCCTTTACTTAAGTCTTAATATCGACCTAAATTGTTTGATCTGTGAAATGATATTTACAATTTAAAATCACACCAAGATATCGAAAATATTGATATATTAAAAATCTGCTGTTTTGATAAAGCACATAGGATGAGTAAATCAATGAAAGTTCCATCAATAAAGTGATTGTTAATCATAGCAGTTTAAAAGGGTTGAAGGTTGAAGTATTGACGTTGGATATTCAGTCATTGTTTATAAAGGAACATTCAAAGCGATGGAAGCCAATCTCACAATGTCTTTTCCATCCATTGTTTCAACAACTTTCCAGGAGTTCACAGCGGGATCATATTCTTCTATTGTGTTCTTGGAATTATTCCTGCAGAGAATAACGACGCAATTCAAGTATTGAATGGTAAATACAAGCATTGATATATTTATGTAGTTATAAATTGGTTGAATTTTACATTTTATTACTTTCTTTCGAAATGACGAACGCATAAATGATCGTCAAAGTAGCCATAGGACACACATAGGATTTCTGTTTTACACAGTTATATCTGGATATGGAAATCACACAATCCGGGTTGCGAGTAATCATGCTAGACTCGAAGAATCGAATTTTCCAGCCATAGCAGATTTGTAACATCGAATGGTTGCTTATTCAGAGTTTAAATTACTAATACACAGAATAAGTTTTTGTCATTCTTGGTCCATGCAACATGTTGTTATATTAGTCATAGATACATATAATAAATATCTTAGTTCGTGAATCAAGTTCCAACTCACCCTCCAACAGCAAATATCTTTCCTTCAACAACACAGGCTTTGAAATAATATCTCGAATTGTTTAATGTGGCAACAGTGGTCCATATTTCAGCAACTGTATCAAAGCATTCCACAACGTTCGAGTAGTTATGGTAGCATCCGCCTTGTAAAACAATAGAAGCGATGAAATTATTTGATTGTTTTATTAGGGGCGATTTGCAACATAATGACTCGACGCAAGTCAATTCGTGAGCTTATGTTGATATAAAATGCTGTGTACAATCAACTTCTAACTGTTAACTGAAAAATAATTCTGGACTTGAGAAATTCATATTACATTTTAAATACTGCACATTTCAAATTTGTTGCGAGTAATTTGCAGTTATTTTGTATTCGAAGTGAGTTGAAAAAGAAATTGAAATTTATGAAGCAATGGCTAAATCTATGTAATATTAACCCGATGTTACGGCATTAAGACAGCTTATGCTACAATGGAGGTGGAAAGTTAATGGTCAATTTGCAGAAGATCCGAACACCTGAAAAACTACTTATCGTTGGCACCTGGCTGGAAAGGGATGTACAAAATAATTATTTTCTAGAGAGTAAATACTCACCCATGACATAAATCTTCCCATCAAGTTTAACTGCAGCTGCACCATATCTTGCAGTCGGCATTGAAGGAAGTGTCGTCCATGTTGAATCTGACGGATTGAATTTCATTGCGTGAGATATACACCCACCACTGAACCCCCCTATACAGTAAATGAAACCTGAATAAGGTAAGAAAATAAATGTTATTTGCAAATGTAGCATCCATGTTCTACAGTTTTCACAAATGAAAGTTTTTTACGTTATTCCAAGACAACCAAATTGTTATAAATTTAAAATTGAAATTAATCCAAATAATTCCCGGAATAAAGAATTCAAATTATTAAATAGATATAATTTTGAATCATTTCCAATCTAATATGTTTTGAAAATTTTTAATTGAATAAAAAACAGCTCCGTCATTATTTTAAAATGTCTTAGTAGGTATAGATTCTTGTCACATATGCCCTGTCTCCAAAACAGCCAATTTTACATTAAGGCGTCTATGAAGCAGTTCAAGCACTTGCTTTGCTGCTTTAGTTCGCTGTCATTACAAAAATTACTACCCAGCGTGTTTACTGTAGATTATATGACTACACAGTGTATATTTTGCAGTATAACTTCATCTTTCATCAAACATACCTCCTGCAGCAGCTATTGATGCCAAACATCCGTCCACAGGTTTATCAGTGACATGAGACCAAGTTACATCAAATTTCTCAACTGCTTTACTGTTGCTGCCAGAATCATCAAATGCATAGATTGAACCTGGTTGATGGAATATAAATGAATCGATTCAAATGTAGAAATAAAGAATCACAGAATCAGCATCGGGAATGTAACATCATGCCACTAAAAGTAGCTCACTGGTAGTTTCGAGTTTTTTTCGTTGCTTCTACAAAGTTATAAACACTATTGAATCACAGATAATATGACTACTGACTTAGTTGACACATATCCAAGTCAACATAATATCTAGCACTTGAAGTATTAACGCCAAATACTCGCATAGGACAAAGGACTTTTCGGTGTTATGATTTCAAAATAAAATTCTGACTAATTTATTATATATTTGGCTTATTCGGATGAGAATATATGGTGCCACATGGGTCGAACAAGGATTAGATAATTATGGGTGAAAGATCATTGTGCAGCGCATGTAAAGCTCAAATATCTCAGGTAAAATCTGGACTGAACAAATATATGAACAACAATTCATATTTGTTTTCAATTTCTCACTGCGCTTGATCAATACTACAGAGCAAATATGATTCAAAATAACGTATGCTGAAGTAATGGTGACATTTCGGTTATAAAACCAATCATGTGAAATTTGAATATTACAATCTAAAATACGGATTCACCTTTAAACTTGCTTCTGTCATACCAACCTTCAAATGCAACAGCAGCCACACGTCTCTTTGTCAATCTCCGATCTGCCAGTCTTACCCATGTAGCTTTGGTATCCGTAAAATTCAGTTGATAATTGGTTCCATCATCCACAAGTACATATGTGAAGTTACCAAGTACTACAGCAGTGAAGTCTTTACCAAGAAATTCCTCAATGATGCCCTGTTGAGAAACATTGCAAATAAATTTATACGATAAAACCATGGCATCGCATAACATTTTTATTTTGTATCAACCAACTTGGATTGGAAATTAATGACTGCGTACATAACTAGTCATTGGGATTCAGAGTAAAAACATTTAAAATGGGCAACATAAGTCAAAAAAATTCTCAAGAATAGCTTGCATGCATTAAAGTTTTTGTGGTCAAAATTTTGACAATTTATTTATTGCATGTGATGAAGTTGTTCCATACTACATACAATACTACTTACATAGACTACTTACAAAACATTCAGAAGACACTTCAAGCAATACCTATATTTGGTTGAAATTTTCTTTCATTTATTTCTAAAAAAACTCGAAAAAAAAATTCTTTCAAACTAACAAGAGTATTTGGAGTTAGTCAGGTATCAGTTAGAACATAGATTTCAATTTGTAAATAAATAGATGATTGAAATTTGAATAACACAATAATAAATAATGAACAATAAACCAATAACAGTGTCAAACCTCCAGTTCTATCCAGGTTTCTATCTTTGGATTAAATGTTTGAATTGATTTAGATTTTATATCAAAAACAGCAATTGCTGAAAAATAATGAAGAATTGTAAACATGGATTGGGAAGAATGGAAAGTAAATGAGACCATCAACTAATAGAATTGCTTATATAAACTAATGATGTAAACCGGGGGCGCACAACCTGCGGCGATTGGAGATGAAAAGTGCGCCCGTGGTGGTATGTGTTTAAGCTGCAAAATAAACACAAGACAAAAATATTTACAACGCCATTAGCTACCCGTAATTCTATTAGTTATTTGCGGTGTCGTTGACGTACCCTCTCATGCTCTTAACTCTTTGTGACATAATCATCTTGTTGGATGTCACAAAAATGTTTTAAATTAATAAGGGAATTTACGTTCGAAGGTTGGTGTTGGCCCCTGGATGTTGTGACAAATCAAAGCAGTGATTGGAAAATAGATTATCGGTATCATAAAGCGTAATGCTTGTAAATATCACTTCAAACAAGCAGCAACTGATTCAACGACTTATAAAGAAGTTACTGTTGTTTGGAATGACCGAAATCATTTCAGTTCGGCATTGTCTAACTATTTTTCCAAAAATATGTATAATAGTATGATTAGTATTAACGGAGAAATGTAACACTGAGGCGTCACTGGCAGGTCGGGTCATGCAATGACGTCTGGTCGGGATGTTTATTTAACATGAAACACGGATGCGATAGAAAAATATAAGTTCAAGTTTCCGATGCTTGCTAAACAACAATGGCGTATGGGATGGGGATAATCAGCTTACTTGAATGGTCGCATAAAAATATCTACGATAGCAAAAAATAAGCCACGTTTTCTGCCTTACAGTCATTTCCAATGAAGGGGGGTATCAATTCTGAGTGCTTCAGTGCTTCACATTGTATATCAAAACTATTTGATATATTGAATTCGTTGACATATTGTATCATAAAACACTCTTTTGGCGGCCGTAGTCTTTTACAATGACATAATGCGGCCGTCTGTAGAAAAAAGGTTGTGCACCCCTGATGTAAAAGAAGTTGAACCAAACACAGATTTTTATTTGATACGGTTTCTATTTTCCAAATAAACTAATCAAGTAACACATAGTTCATGTTATAAGGTCATGAAATCATGTCACTACCTTACGGCAAATAAAACTGATATTTTGTTTCCTATAACCTTACCGTTAATCGGCTTGGCAGCATCTGAAAAAGTGAGAAACATTTTTAATTTAATTATAAATCAATGACTTGTGACGAAAACTGAATTAGGCAAAAGTTTGCTTATCCAGTTAGTGACGTTATCAAAACCAATCAATATACGTACTTCTGATGTCAATATCTTCAGCTGTAACTTGTGATCCAGCGCTTAAGATATTCAGAAGTGCTTCATGGTATCGTGCAGAATCAAAGACCAGAGGCTGAAATATAGAATAAAGTAACTCATTGAGTGTAATATTCACTTAGCCACAAGGATGAAATGAGGTACTAAATCATGGTGTTCACTGTGAATTCAATCTAAACAAGACACAAAACTGAACAACAGGGTCACGAACGTTGTCATTTTCTGTACTGTGGCAACGTATGATAGGTCGGGACTTACATATGTATTCCAGGGGAGAGGAAGCCGATAAGACGGCTTAACCCTATCGCGAACCACAGCCTCTCGTCCGGTTACCATTCCAAGTCAGGTATGAGATTAGTTAGTTATTTGTTTTTTTTCGGAGGCATGGATTTGATGGTCGAGGAAGCCGTAACCGACCAGTGGTTACGTGAACTATCCAACGGCGTCCAGCAATCCTCTCGCACATAACCATCCTTGCATGATATTCGAACCTGCGAGCCCACGCAGAGTAATCAGAGGTGCGGTGGCAGCGTAGTACTAATGCTCAGCACGATGAATCACACTACCGCGGCAACGTTCAAATTATGAAAAACATGACAAAATTAGCAATGCTCTGTTGCCCATATAACTATCCTTGATGACAAACAATTATCCCCAACCTCTTTCTCCACCAAAAACTTTTGATATTTCTTCGATATCTTTGCCAAATCCAGATTTCCAAATAATTCTTCAAACGTCGATGCCCGAGTCTTTAAATCAAAGTTGGTCCAAATAATCAAAGCTTTGCACTTGACAGCTTCAGTTGCCTACAAATGAAAATAATTTTAATTATTAATGTGTAGGAATTTGAGTTCCTTCAAACAGATTTTAACGCTCTCACTGGGTTATGATTAAAAATATCATCTGTAAGTAAGGACTAATGTTGTATTTCTACTGAAGTGAATATTAAAAAGTATTTTTTAATATAACTTTAAATCCCATACATTGATTGATTTTGATCCAATAAGAAAGAAAACATAAGCTTCATCCAAATGTTTGAAATCGTCCTCACATACAATTGCTTGAAAATTTCTCGAAGCATATTTGTTGCAACTTTCAACTAAACTGGCGCAGTTGAAAGTGTTTGCGATCATCTTTGTTGAATAGAACGATTTTGGACTCAGTTCTTTCTCAAATGATATTGCAATTTTGTCGCACAAGTCTAAATATAGTTTTCAAGTAAGCTTATACATAAAGCAGAAAATAGCTATTTTTATTTATATTAGTTAAAATTATGATCCAAACTGTGTCGCGCGTAACCTGAATTGAAACGTAACCGTGATAAATTGAAGACTTGTGAACCGTTAAACAGATGATGTAAACACGCTATAGTATGTCTTGTTACTTTAATCTATAACTCATATTTGAAATGAAGATTATTCTGTTAGTGTAAAATGGGCGTTAGTAATTTAAAATTGCTGTCTATTATAAAAGTGCCGCTGATAATGCTCACTTCGCTCAGAATTCATCAAGTTGTAATGCACATTTAATTGGGTATACGATCTATGCCAACTCCAAAATAATAAACACAACCCATCTACCTTGTAACTGGAGCATATGAGCGGTATGCATTAGTTGTTCGCGATTAGCAGTTGGAACATGACCGGTGTAAAGATAATCGATGCATGTTTTCAGATTTGAGTATTGAACATGTTTCATCACCACAACGCCACTGCTGCTCTCAACATTCTGAAATATATCAGAATAGATTCGGTTTGTTCTGTTCAATATACATTCTACTCATCATAAACGGATGTACGTTAACAATGGTTTATTATTGCAGTCTTGTGGCACTGTTGATGCAGTTGAGATAGAATATTTTGGCATAAGATAGATACAGGGTGTCTCAAAAGTAAGTATACACTTTTAAATTCTGATTTGCTATTCAGGTACTCATCATAGAGCGCTCATTTCTTCAGCAAACATAGTATGGATGAGTAGTAAAATTTAGGCATTGTTTGCATTTTTCAACAACTCAGAGAATGACATGGAGATTGACTTAAGATATAAGGTGCAAAATTGCTGTTTGGCAAAAAAGCATATAAATCAGTATGGCAAACTCAGCGCCTTTCAACAGAGAATTTAGAATTAATTCGTCTCTGAATGCTTTCCTCAGAGTGTCCGCGCCTTGGTCTTCCTGATTTTTTTACAGATCCAGTTTCCATGACTTTTCGATGAATTACATAAATTGTTCGTCGTGTAGTAGCCGAATTAATTCCAAATTACCAAAAAGCAATTTATTCCCAATTTCTTGAGTTAATCTGCTTATCATTCTGCGGGTTGTTTAAAAATGCAAACAACACTTAAATTTTACTGCTTATCCATACTATGTTTCCTGATAAGCAAATCAAAATTGAAAGTGTATACTTACTTTTGAGACACCCTGTATATTGTATTAGTAACAAGTAAACTTGGCTTCTATTTCTTCACAAATTCATGATGTAACACTCACTTCATGAGACAACATTGCCCGAAAGTAATCTGATCCTGCTGACAGAACATTCCTGTGTGCTAGTATTTCTTTACCATCAACCATAATTGTGAAGTCACTATGCCCTTTGCTTTCTCTTTGTCTGAAATTTCAAAACAGTGTACAACGTACAATGTTCATTTCCAAAACATTGATGTATATAAATTTTCGTTTTAACCTCACACAAGAGAGAAGTAAATGACGGTCAGCATCAAAATCAAAACTTTGAATTCAAAAATAAAGCAATATATATTATCATTAGAGTCGTCAAATTCTCTGTTTTTAGATACATTACTCTTTCGAAGACTATTTTTTTCAAGGTGGATTCAGCACTGTGAGAAATAGCCATAGATTATTAGAAAGTGGTAATTATGGAAAAAACAGCACAAACTTAGATTATCAAACACTGTGAATCGAACGGCAAAGTCAACAACTCTATATGATATTTTATTTCTCAACTTTTATAGCAACACCCAGTTGCCATTATTATACGAATTTGCATTATCTCCAATTATTGAGTATTACTATCTTGTTTAATATTTGATACTCTCCCGTCATTGCCCTATGACTAAATTGATTGTATCTATGTTTATCTCACGGAACAAAACTCTTTTATTGGTCAAAACTTATCCATACCCAATCTAATAATAATTAACACAAACAAAAAAGGATTAGACAATAGCAAATTGTTACCTACAATTGCAGTTTAATTTTAATTCATGAACACTTATATAAGACACATAGAACACCTGATATCAGTGTATCACTATTAGCGTACTTTTTTGCGAAAACTGTGAGACTGCGACATCGCCTTTTTCCGTTTTTGGAGTGAAATAATTTGAATTTACCAAATTGTTGTAGTTTCAAAGTTGTCAAATAAACTTGGTGCGAGTAATTTTGTAACCTAATTTGACATTACATAATGGTATTAGTGAAGATATTAAGTGTAAAGATTTCACGTTGACTGCAAAATTCTAATGTGATATTTTATACAACCACTCGGAATCCACTCCTGCAAAAATCTTAGAAAGCGTTTCTATGATCGAGAGTGTACCACAGTCTATGATTTTCTGGTGCAAATATATGACTGAAAAATATATAAATTGAAGCAGAAGTTTATCAGGTCCACTGTTTCTTGCTTTTCAGAGTGTTTTGATGCCAGACACATAGTTCGGTGATGAAATTTGGGTCATTACTTGATATTTATGGTTTCCTAATGAAGATTTGCTATTGTCGCAGTGGCCCAAAATTATATCACAGAACGATATTTATTCGTCAGAGACAAAAACCCTCCATTATAACTGAAGCAGATTCAGCGAAAAAAAGGAATGTATAGTGCCGATTGTTATCTAATAAGACAGCGGGTGCATTTTTTCTCTCTCTTTAAAACACACATGAAACAAATTTAACGATATTGCAGAAGTGATTACTCGTCCTTCTTTGGTCACCCAAAACAAGTGTAGTATGCATATACAAGAGGTTTCTCAACTCTACAAACTCAGGACACAATCATTATTAATAATAAATCACGAGACACAGAAAAAGACAGTTGATTTCATTAACATTGAAATACACAAATAAAGTTTTACATTTAATGGAAATCTAACCGATGCTACATGTGAGATTTATGCCGGTGAACGATTATATCGCGACTGAATGTCTGATATTTGAGAAACATTTCCAGGATTTTATCGTACATGCGAGCGCATAATAAATAATTTCTTTCGGAAAAGGATTGATATTTTCCGACATACTCAAAATTAGATGGGAACCACTAACATATTATTTACCGGTATTCATGTTGTTTCGATATTGATATTATTTTGTGTAAGTTCACAGAACTTATTTGTGTCATCGTTGCTAGTAGTAACGCCGGGAATGGGAACGCCGCAAGTGACATCGGAATGCAAATATTTCATCCTGGGTCTGCAGCATTCCAGAGAGAGAGCTACAACATTCGTTTTCTCTTCTCGGTATGTACCTGATACTTGACTAATTCAAGGAACGATGAAAATAAAGCAAGGCAATTTGAGGGCGACTTCGACTATGTAATGACTACTGATATTGATTTCTTTAATCTTTTACGTTCGAAAACGTCATTTTAATTTGTTTTTGTTCCATAATAACTTTTAAATTAGGAGCATGCATGACATGGCTGATAGCAAGCCATCAGGCATTGCGAGATTGTGACAAAGATTTCGCATGAAATGAATGAGAACTGTGTGAACACTGTGTGTGCTTTTCTGTTATATTTCAATATGATTCGAATAATTTGCATCTCTATTGGACAGCCCTAGTTATAATATATTCAATGGGCACAACCAGGGTTGTCCAAAACGAATCGAATATTCGAATACGTTTTCGGCTGATTTTTGAATAATAGTAATAGTGAGTTTTCGCCATAAACGAGGCAATTCGTTCTAGAGGGATATCTTTAAACGATATTCCTCACTTTGTGACGCATTGCAATGGCTGTGAAATAGTATCAGCACTTTGATTGCTTATCTTCTGTGCAAGTGCACCTGATATTGTTGTGACATTTGCATGGTTTCGTGATTTGCACTGTCGCCATTCCCTTTCAAGGCTTATAATTTACGCCAGGGCTGTCCAAAACGAATCGAATATTCGAATGTATTCGAATATCAAAGTATTCGAATACCTTTTTGGCTGATTTTCGAATAATTCCGAATAGTAGCCACTTTTCGCCGTAAACGTGGTGTTTCGTTTTACGGGAATATTCAAACGACTTTTTACGCTGTCTCACGTATTGTAATGACGATGAAATAGAATCGGCATTTTGATTGTTTATATTCTGTGCGAACGGTACGTCGCATAGTGTTGCGACATATTTGCATGTTTGCGCGGGTGGACATTGCCGACATTCGTCTACAAGGCTTTTAATTTACAAATTCATTTCCATTACGTCAAAATTTCGTCTAATGAGTCGCTTTTCTAGGCGGGGTGGGGGCGTCTAATTGAGAAAGTATGTTTATTTTATTTCGATGTGGCCTGCTTTTTATTCGCATGAGTCTTCTCAAACATGATTTGTGTAACCTTATATTTGGGTCTTAGGGCCTGCCAATCATGATATTTAATCGCCGGCCGGTTATCGTTACTTTAAAGAGAAACACGGCCACCGAGATAAAGTGATTTGTGACCCTTTCGTTTTGTCGATTCAGCAGAACACGACAGGGACAGGAAAACACAGCTGTGAAATAACCCGTGGACGTACAGTGTAGTACTTATCACATTTCAAAATTATTTCAACATTCGGGTTAATAGGTTGTCCAAAATGATTGCCGCTTTACAACTTAAATTTACCGCTCAATTGTTAAATATAGTTAAATGATCTGGTTCTAAACATATAAAATTATTAGCGCATATTAGCATAACTGAACAACAGGGACACAATTTTTTTACCCGTCTTATTGGAGGCCTATATGGAAAAACCCCTTTTTTGAGTGCTAAAAATAGACATCGTTCTATTTGCCATGTGGACTTATTAGCCGGGAAATACGGTATTTATAGCTGTAATTGTTACGTATCAAATAAATTGTCACAAGTTGGAAAAAAAAGTCGATTTATTAGAAAATAATTTCTGGCAAATAATTTTGATAACGATAGTTAAAAGTATCGATCCTTTACCAAGATGATTTTTGTTGCGCAAAATAATCCAATCCATGACTGGTAACAGCATTTATTAAAATGTCATGCTGTATTAATTTAATTCTGTTCAACGTAACTCATGGTTGTATCGACAATCTGTGGACATAAAATGTGTGGTGAACTGACCGATATTATTAAATATTGATTCCTATTTTCATATTGATAAAATAATGAAAGTATTAATACCAAATACCACGGGTATTTGTGGTCATGAAATATGTAGTAAACTGCCCAATTAGAATTAAATTCTGATTCGTATTTCCAAAAAAAAAAAAAAAAAATTATTTCTAAAATGCAACGGCGATCTGTGGCCTTAAAATGTGTGGTAAACTGCCCGATTTACCAACATTTGAGTTATGATAATAGAATTAAATTAACACGGTAAGGCATTTCAAATAGAGGTATCGGTCATGGATTCGAATATTTTGCGCAGCACAAAATCATCCTAGTAAAAAGTCCATACTTTTAAATACAAACCAATGGCAACCATTATCCAAATTAGTTCCCAAAATGCGGGATAAAGTATAAATTATTTTCCAACGTGTGACTATTTTTTCGTGAGTACGAAAATAAGAATTAAAAACTAATTATATTCGGCACAATATCATGGCAATCTGTGGACATAAATTGTGTGGCAAACTCGCGATTAATATTAATTTTTGATTCCTATTTTCGTATTTACAAAATACAACGGCGATCTGTGAACTTAGAATGTGTGATAAACTACCCGATTATAAATAGTTTTTGATTTCCTATTTATAAAATAATAAAAGTATTATTACTCAAACATACAACGGCGATCTGCGGACTTAAAATGTGTGGTATAGTTCCCGAATATAATTAATTTTTGATTCGCATTTTTGTACTCACAATAACCAAAATAACTCATACTTTATCCCGCTTATCGGCAAATAATTTGGATAATGGTTGGTGTTTAATTAAGAGTATGGGCGTTTCACTAGGATGATTTTGTGTCGCGCAAATATTCAAATCCATCACCGATACCACTATTGCCGTATTAATTTAATTCTGTTAACATGACTCATGGTATATAAAATATATACTGGAATATGAAATGCCTGGTAATAAAGCTAGGTTGTAATTCCTAGATAGCAGTTATTCCATTGCTTATTGTATGGAAATTCCTACATACATTTAGACAAGCTTCAATTAGTGGATTTCATTTTCGAAGTATTCGAAATTTCATATTCGAAAAAAATAATTTCGAATGTATTCGAAATAGTGAACTATTCGGTATTGGCCATCCCTGATTTACGCATTCATTGATTTGCACTGTCGCCATTCCCTTCCAAGGCTTATAATTTACAGCTTCATTTTCATTAAGTCACACGTCTCGCATAGATCTAACCATAGTGGTATATTAAATAAGTTAAATTAAGTGCGAATTTAATAAGTGCGATTTGTTACAAATTACGACACCCGATAAATTGACGCAATCTGAAAAAACGAGTTGATTTATTAGGATAAAAAATTTATATTTTTTAATACTTAATTTTGATAGTTGGAGTATCGAACCTGTACCAGAATGATTTTCTGTTGCGCAAAATATTCAAATCTTTGAACGCTTCCAGCATTTAAAATGCCTTACCGTATTAATTTAGTTTTGTTCAATTACCGTAACTAATTGGTTGCCTCGACGAAAATATAAAAGCATCACTATGAAAGACCGCGGACATAAATTGTGTGGTAAACTGCCCGATTATAATTAATTTTTGATTCCTATTTTCGTACTTACGAAAACAATAGCATTACAAGTTACAACTCTAGAATATCGGGGCAATCTGTGGACATAAAATGTATGGTAAACTGCCCAATTATAATTAATTTTGATTCAAATTTTCGTAGTTACGAAAATAAACAAGGCATACTACTATTAAATTTCACGATAATCGACGGACGTAGAATGTATGGTAGCCATCTTGTAAATAACAGTTATTTCATTGATTATTGTATGCAAAGAGAAGCATAGAAGCTATATTCATATACTTGAAATTATTTTCGAATGTATTTAAAATAGTGAATTATTCGGTATTGGCCATCCCTGGGCACAACGCTTTTTCGAGTACCTATTCTAAAAAAAGTTGAAACGAAAGATAGGTCACCTAACTCAATAAAATTAGCCAGGGCACTTTTTTTTTAAAATCAGCCGGTGCTACATGGAGAACTGCATAATATGCTCACTCGTATATGGGTAATCTTTCACTAAACTAACTGGGAAGAGTATAATGAACTAGTAAATGCTGCATACATGTTCCATCCACTTATATTGATTTATAATTTAAAAATTCTAGATGAGATCAATCCACATCCCATTATTGACTCACCACTAAGGTCAGTTAATTTTTTAATCTCAAGTTAGAATAAAGTTATCCTGACTTATTACCCACCTTTCTATGTTTATCTAATGTTTTTCAACACTTCTGCTAACATAACTTATCCCTATCTAACCTAAGATAAACATAATCAAAGAGATTAGAAAAAGAAAATAGTGGTGGTGCAATAACAGCACAGTACCTAATTTACAAATTATTCGGTCAGGCTTTAAATCATTTAAAGTGATAGAAATTGCCGAACGATACTGGAATAGACTCCACTCATGAACTGAGAATAACTGACAGTTTGACCAGTAATGCTATCGCAAAGAAGTCAGAATCCTAATACAGTAAATCCATCCCAGAACTCACGAATGAGGGAGGTCAGGCAAAGAAGCAATGGTATTGAAATAAGATTATTCTGACCAGTTACGCTTCAGTGAAAATCTTGTGGATATTGGAAAAAGAAGAATACGACCCACACCTGAAAAGTAGTGGATTGCAACAGTTCTCAACAAATCCCAATGTAGCATTTGATTCGAATTATTACATACACACTATAAATCTGGTTTACAGAATAATCATAGCCTAATCAGAGGATGATAATTCTGCCAATTTTATATGTTTCGCCTTCTGGATAGGACCAGATTATTTTTAAAACAGAATAAAAATGCTGTAGGAGGGCGTGATAATATATTACATAAAGTTATAAAATTACTTAATCAAATTAAAAGCAATGATAAAAAGTCAGTAAATTCAACTTAAATTTTATGTACTCAATTGTTAAATACACAGCGATTTACAAAAATAAATGTTATTTACAAATTTTAGTAATAAGGATGGATAGATACTTCTAAAATAACTGACTATGTTACTGATTTTCTAAATATAAATATTTTATCAATAAATTAATTAGTAAGACTAAGAAATTGAATTTACCTAATTACACCACCTCGGAAGTATATTGTTTTTATTATCATTCCGTGCCATGATCTGACATTATTAGACATTCATTATTTGGTTTTTAAATGACTCTGATCTTAATAGTTTCCAGCAATACCATAAGTATATATTATCTAGGTTTACAGCCCACACTAACTATTATTTGTAGAAACTTGCTTGGCAGAATATTGCTTGTCTATTTCAAGTGTAATAATTATGTCAGCTTAGATGCATACTTCTCATATTAATACTGCATGAGATAATGGATATTCTCAGTCTAATGTTAATGCAATATTAACAAAGCAGTAAATTTTACATGAATTTCTATGTACTTACTTGTTTAGTGCCATCATCATTTTTCCACAGTGCTTCAAATCATATGCATCAAGAGTTAAATTCATTGTTTCAGTTCCAGGTGACTAGAAAGATATAACTGGACACTTCCACCACAATATCTCGATAAATAATGGTTTTACAGATCTAGTTGAATACGGGTCCGGTATAGTTTAGTACCGGTACCACATGCACTTCCAGATTCAGATTCAGATTCAGATATTTATTTTTCGTCGTGCAAAAAGTTGGCCTGGCTCAACAATTTTTGCATATGTCAATCCTAACCCCCGCCTGACTACGTCACCGAAAAATTACGTCATTTCGGCGTCACAGTGACGTAATAAGCACACCAAAGTATGTGGATGATCATCCAAAACGGAACGGATTGGAAGTACTTGTGGTACTAGGTACCGTATACTAGATCCGTTGAATATCGTAAACAATACCTGTAAAATGCTATCCCAGTTAAATTACTATGAGAAGCAGAAAACCCAGAACTAAAGCACCTACACCGGCCTGGTGAAAACTGCGTAAAATTGGTTAGGTAATTGATGTAATGCATATTTAGTCTGACAACCGCAGCTCTTGTTTTACAAGTCAATTATAAGATTCCAGACAACAACAGCAGAATCTGATGTATCGGTATAGGGGATTCCCCGTTTTGCCAAATAGTCGTGGTTATTCATGCATTAAATAAAAACAAGTCAACTTTACTCACGATGTCGGGTATTCGGCATTATATTACAGGCCAACATAAGGTAACTGAAGTTCGTATTCATTTTGGGGGAGTATAAAATGTCTTAATTGTTTATATTATTATAGGGTAACCTAATATGGACCTGAAATTAAAAGGATAGTAAAATCATGCGACGCGTGTTCGGCACGCATTACGTCTGTGGACAAAAAATATCTCCAATATGAAGCAATAATTTTTAGTTTAGGCATTTATTGCACATTTATTTCACTAGAAATTTCATGAAAACACGAGCTTCCTTGTCTTCATCAAGTTTCTAAAATCGTGACGTGGTTCTCAACGAATAAGGTTTTACTCAAGCACAGGGGCAAACTTTCAGCTGATTTCGTTTTCAATACAGACATTACACTGAATCCCGCCTCACAAAACTAGGTTGTTTGTGACTGAATTAAATATTGAATGGCAAAGTTTGAAACAGTTGGATACACCTCGAACAAGGAAGCTCAGAAGTAAATTTTTTGCCGAACACCTTGGACACTTATTTTTGATAAAAAATGAAATGCAATTTTATCTTTGACTGTCATGCGTCATAAACTCTTTTGCAACATGACGGACATTCTGCAGACATTTTGGTAAGGTTCCCAATTTTTAATAATACCTTCTATGTTGGCAATACAGTATCTTAGTTCTGGGAACACGGACTCACCTGGAGACGAACCCGCAGCAAAACATTCCCTCATTAAGATACTAGCTATGCCAAGGTGTAGGTGTTTACACGAATTTCCAGAAAAATAAGCGGCAAAATATTCTATACTTTTATGTTCTTTTATTCTACACTTCGCTTTTAAGGCATTTCAGATGCATATACCTATTTATAATTCTGGTCAAAGTGAGGAACCGAGCCTTAACTACCTACGGATTAAGTATTTGGGGGAGAGTCAAAATGCATATGGAATGACACACGCAGCCATATCTTATTTTTTAGTTTCTCTTTACATGAAAGAATTAAATGCTTCTTACATAAAATTGATAAAAGAAGAATCGGAATAATAGAATACATATTACTCGGAGTAATTACTAAGCTAATATAAAAAACAATATATTTTAGATGAACAAAGTCTCAACAATACAATCTAATTACTATCAAGTTCTAATATTGGTTTGAATTTTTCCGCTGTTGTGACATTATAAAATTATACTTACAACTTAAAATCACACTAAAAGAGCAAAACTTATTGATAGATTGAAACTTACTGGAGCTAATACAACAATGCATTATGGATATGTGTACTTTTAACAATGGAATCCAAGTATTCTAAAGTTCTAATATTGACTAGAATTTTTTGCGTATCGCAGAATAATCTATATATACAATGGAAAATCACACCGAGGAAAAATATTAATCTATTGGAAATCCGCTGTTTTGATCAAACACGTCGGATGAGTGAATCAGTAAAGTTGTCAAACATTGAATTGATTGTCAGCCATAGCAGTGTAAAAGAGTTGAGGTTGAAAGCATTGGTGTGGTGTGGGATATTCAGTCATTGTGTATAAAGGAACATTCAAAGCGATGGAAGCCATTCCTGAATGTCTTTCCCATCCATTGTTTCAACAACTTTCCAAGAGTGTATAATGAGATCATATTCTTCTATTGTGTTTTGGGAACTATAACCTCAACGAATAACGACGCAATTCAAGTATTAAACAGCAAATTTGAGAATTGATAAATATAATTACACATTGATTGAATTTTTCACATATTTTTTAAATTTTTTTTTAAATATCGATTGCGCAAATGATGTCAAAGTAGCGATATAACACACAGTGGGTTGGAATTCTATTTTACATAGTGATATTTTAAAATGACTCACTCAATCCGAGATGATATAAATCATGCTAGTCTCGCAGAGTCGAGTTTTCCAGCCATAGCAGATTTGTACGATCGAATGGTTGCTCATTCCAAGTTTAAATTACTAATACACACCATAAGTTGTTTTCACTTTTGGTCTAAGCAATATTTTGATTAAATAATAGATACTTGCAATGAATATCTTAGTTTATGAATTAAGTTCCAACTCATCCTCCAACAACAAATATCTTTCCTTTCACAACACAGGCTTTGAAACTGTATCTTGAATTGTTTAATCTGGCAACAGTGGTTCATGTTTCAGTCCCTGTATCAAAGCATTCCACAATGTTCAAGCTATTTTTGATGATTCCACCTTAAAAAAATAATAAAGATGAACTTATCTGAAAGTTTTATATCGATCAGTCAATTTGCAATATTTGGGCATGACACAAGTCTAGCGAGCATATGCCGATATGACTAGAAATATCGTGTACAAATGTTTTCTGAAAGCCAATCCAGAACGATGCTGGCATTATGAGAAACTCATATTACATAAAGATATTTCACAATGTATTTCGAGTATTTTGCTGTTATTTTGGAGTATTTTGTAATTTGTAAATTTATGTAGCACTTAGCTAAATCTACGTAATATTAGCCCGATGTTAACGGCATTAAGACATAGAACTCAGGGCTTAGTATTGGTAAGTGTAGCGTTTGCTTATGCTACATAGAAAGTGAAACTGTTAATTTGCAGAAGATCCGCACCTACTCACTCACCTAGGGTTGTCCAAAACGAATCGAATATTCGAATGTATTCGAATATCAAAGTATTCGAATACTTTTTCGTCTGATTTTCGAATAATTCCGAATAGTAGCCACTTTTCGCCGTAAACTCGTTGTTTGGTTTTCGCGGGAATCTTTCAACGAATTTTGCGCTTTTCACTTATTGTAATGACGATCAAATGGGCACTTTGATGTTTATATTCTGTGCAAGCGTGCGTTGCATGTTGTTGCGACACCTTTGCTCGATTGCGTGGTGTAGATTACGGCCACGCCCCTACAGGGCTTCTAATTTACACTTTCATTTCCATTACGTCGAAAAATTGAGAACTATTTAATGTCCAAATTGTTATGATACCTAATAAATTGTCGCAAGTCGGAATAACAAGTTGATTTATTAGGAAAAATAATTCATACTTTTTCCCGCTTTTTGGCAAATAATGTTGATGGTGATAGGTAAAAGTTTCGACTTTTTACTAGGATGATTTTTTGTTGCGCATAATATTCGAATCCACGGCCGATACCAGCATATAAAATTATTATGCCCGATTGCTTAAATTTTGTTCATCGTTACGTTTGATTGCGTCGACAATCTGTGGACATAAAATGTGTAGTAATTTTTCCAATATTAGTTTTTGATTCCTATTGTCGAATTCACACAATAATAACAGTGTTAATGCTTTTAAATACTACGGGAACTTGTGGACATAAATTTGTGGTAAATTGTCCGATTATTATTAATTTTTAATTCCTATTTTTTTACTCACAAAATAATAAAAGTATTGATAATCTGAAATACTACGGGAATTTGTTGACATTATATGGGGTTATGATTAATTTCTGATTCATATTTCGTATTTACAGAATAACAAAAGTAATATCACTCTGAAATAACACGGCAATCTGTGCGATTATTATTAATTTTGATTCCCATTTTCGCATTTACAAAATAATAAAAGTATCATTACTCTAAATTATAACGGCGATCTGCGGACTTAAAATGTGTGGTAAAGTGCTTGAATATAATTGCCTTTTGATTCGTATTTTCGGACTCACAAAAAAATTGTCACGAGTCGGAAATATAATTTGTACCTCATCCCGCTTTTTGACAAATAATATGGATAATGGTTGGCATTTAAAAGTATGGACTCTATACTAGAATAATTTTGTGTTGCGCAAAATATTTAAATCCATGACTGGTACGACCTTGCCATATACATATAATAAGTTTAATTCTGTTAATCTAACTCATGGTTGCGTTTACTTGAGAAATATATATCGCAGTAATCTGCAAACATGAAATGCCAGGTTGTAGAAAACAGGTATTCCATTGTTTATTGTATGCAAATTGCTTCATGTACTATTGATAAGCTTCCTTCACCTGATTTTATTTTTGAATGTATTCGAAATTTCATTTTCGAAAATAATAATTTTGAATGTATTCAAAATAGTGAACCTTTTCGGTATTGGCCATCCCGTACACATGAACTGTTACTTATCGAGCAGCTGGTTTACATTGTGTACGAAAGCCAAAATATATTGAAGATTTCCTCACCCATGATATAAATCTTTCCATCAATTTCAACTGCTGCTGCACCTTTTCTTGCAGTCGGCATTGAAGGAAGTGTCGTTCATGTTGAATCTGACGGATTGAATTTCATAACGTTTGATAGGCTCTTACCGTTGTGACCTCCAATACAGTGAATAAACCCTGAATAGAATACAAAAAAAATGAATGTGTTTTATAAGTTGAAAATCATTATGTAACCACAAGTTATTTCACCAAATCTTGTATAAAACTCATAATATCTTTAGAGTAAAAATAATCGTTGATATCAATGTGAGAAA